GCTTCTCGACGCTTCTAGCTCAGCTATGGGCCAGCTTCCATTGAGACCTGATATTTGGGACTCGGAATTCCGTCACTTCAGCTCACAAGATTCATCTGATAACATCGCCAAGCAAAATGGCGCACTTGTGAATTGTGATTGGAATAGTTCAATGCTACCATCCACGTGGTTTAGCTCGCAGATGTCAAGATCGCCTCCGGGATCTGCGAGCAGAAAAATACCCCTTTTAGAATACTGCGCATTCTAGCCCGGTAGCCCCCAAAGGCGAGGCCGCTACTTTTAGCTCCCTTTCCCAAGTCCACGGGCTCCGATTGCAGAGTTCTAGTGCGTTGAGCAGGGAATAGCATTATTCGAGGTCCCCCTCCAGCTCCTCTACGGAGAAAGCCACGCGTCGCCCACGTATATTTCGGATTTCCCGTCATGGGGCTCGGGTTTTCCGCCGCCCTGGAAAAGAATTCTCGCATACATTTGACCCTGGGAAATCGGAGGCTCCATGATAAAGACACTTAAAGGCCATTAGAGATGTGGCTCAGATGTGGCCCGCTTCGCAGCCTTAATTTATTGTGATTCTCCTGTGCGACGCGCGATATCGCCTCCCGCCGCCGCTTACAAAGTTCAACACCAAAGCTTTGATGGTTGACAGCGTAACGTAGAATAGTTGTAAAGTCGCAAGAAAATATGCAGAAAATACAGTGCGCTTTGACAATTCGAACGAATGTGATTTTGATATTCTTCAGGCGATCTATCGTGTCGATGAACAAGAGCATGGAAATAAGGCCGAGATCTCAGCCCGGTGACCGGGAGCATCCCCCACATGCCGGGTCGTGGAACTTCGCCGATGGATGGGGCTCACCGTGGATCATCATCACCACGAACTACGGAGGTAAACTCGGGACGTCGGCGCTATCGCCCCATCGGCCGCGCAACGATGACGGCGGAGCATGAAACTACAATCCATAGGAAACAGGAGCAAACATGGGAAAACAGGGGAAAACATGGAAACAACTTTTGATATAAGTTCAGACGTTTCGCCAAGATGTAGACTTGAGATGAACACCCATCAACCAGTTTCATTCTTTTGCTTCATCCACTATTAAACATTCGTTCTTTTTGCCCAGCATGAAGGTTTCTACTTCTGCGGGCGCGCTCGCCGCTCTTTCTTTCGTTTCCTCTACTATTGCAGCATCGAACTCTTCTTCTACCCTCACCAACGCCATTCTCGCTGACGGATATGGTATGTAGACGTTTCTAACATGTGACAGCTTTCCACTCATATCTAATTTCTCTCCAATAGTCTCCCTCGGCCGTTTCGACGATGCTTACCAAAAGGCCAAGGCTTTCGTGGCCACTCTCGACACCGCCGCCAAGGTTTCCATCATCACTGGACAGAGCGTTACCGGCAACACCACCTGGACCGCTCTGAACAACAAGGATGGTGTTTCCGGTATCAACTACCAGTTCTATGTCTCCGGCTTCAGCATGGCCAACGCTCTGACCATGAGCTGGAACCGTCAGCTCATCGAGGAGCAGTTCAAGGCTATCGGTGATGAGTTCTACGGCATGGGCTACAACCTCATCAACGGACCCGAGGCCGGCCCGCTTGGCCGCACCCCCTACGGCGGAAGAACCCCCGAGACTTTCGGTTCCGACCCCTACCTCACCGGTATCGCCATGGGCAAGGCCATCTCCGGCATGAACTCTGCCGGTGTCATCGCCGGTGGTCGTCACTTCCTTCTCAACGAGCAGGAGACCAACCGATCCTCCGGTATCTCCGCCACCACCACCAACGTCTACTCCTCCAACGCCGACGACAAGACCATCCACGAGCTCTACTCCTGGCCCTTCGCCGACGGTGTCCAGGCCGGTATGATGGCCGTCATGTGCGGTATGACCCGCGTCAACGACACCCTCTCTTGCGAGAACAACGCCCTCGTCAGCAAGCTTCTCAAGAAGGAATTCGGTTTCCTCGGCCTCGTCTTCCCCGATGTCAACTCCCAGTCCACCTCTTACGGCTCTGCCAACGCCGGTCTCGACTACGGCTCCAGCACCTACTGGACTGAGGACATCCTCAGCGCTGGTATCACCAACGGAAGCTTCACCCAGGCCCGCCTCGACGACATGGTCGTCCGCAATGTCATCGGATACTACTACGTCGGCCTCGACGACGGCAAGCAGCCCTCCAAGGCCTCCACCACCGAGTATCGTGACGTCCGCGGCAACCACTCCAAGCTCATCCGCCAGGTCGCCGGCGAGTCTATCGTCCTCCTCAAGAACTCCAACACCTCCGGCCTTGGTCTCCCTCTCCAGAAGCCCCGCACCATCTCCCTCTTCGGAGCCCACGCCGGCCCTGCTCTCGCCGGCCCCAATCAGCCCTTCAGCGTTCAGGGTACCGACAGCGACGTCTACCAGGGTCACCTTGCCTCCGGCACCGGATCCGGCCAGCTTTCGCTCCCCTACCTGGTAACCCCTTTCCAGGCCATCACCCAGCGCGCCATTGACGACAACAGCATGATCTGGTGGCTCCTGAACAACACCTACACCTCCACCTCGTCCGGCGGTATGTCTGGCGGCGGCGGTAGCCCTCCCGGTGGTTCTTCCAGTAACAGCACCGGTGGCGGCATGGGCGGCAGCACTGGCGGTAACAGCACCGGCGGAGGTATGACCGGAGGCGGCGGCGGTGGCCTCGGCAACCTTGGCCAGGGTACCGCCATGACCCCTTCCTTCACCAACTACGCCGAGAACTCCGAGGTCTGCATTGCCTTTATCAACTCCTACTCCGGTGAAGGTGGCGACCGCAGCCTTCTGTACGATGACGAGCAGGATGCCATGGTCACCTCCGTCGCCTCCAACTGCAACAACACCGTCGTCGTCGTCAACACCGCCGGCCCCCGCATCCTCGACGCCTGGATCGACAACGAGAACGTCACCGCCGTCATCTACTCTGGTCTCCTTGGCCAGGAGAGCGGTAACGCTATTGCCGATGTCCTTTACGGCGACGTCAACCCCAGCGCCAAGCTGTCTCACACCATCGCCAAGGACGCCGACGACTACCCCGTCTCCCTCTGCTACACCGAGGATTGCGACTTCACCGAGGGCGTCTTCATCGACTACCGCTACTTCGACTCCAAGAACATGACCGTCCGCTACCCCTTCGGCCATGGCCTCAGCTACACCGCCTTCACCTACGGCAAGGTCGATGCAAAGGTCACCAACCAGACCGCCGCTTCCTCCACCTACCCTACCGGTACTCTCGTCCCCGGTGGTGAGGAGGATCTTTTCGAGGAGGTCATCAGCGTCAAGACCAACCTCAAGAACGAAGGTGGCGTCCAGGGTGCCGAAGTTGCCCAGCTTTACATCAGCTTCCCCTCCGAGGCCGCCCAGCCTCCTCGCGTCCTCCGCGGCTTCGAGAAGCTCAACCTCGCCCCCGGTGCTTCCGGTGACGTGACTTTCAGCGTCCGCAGACGCGATGTCAGCTACTGGGACACCGTTGCCCAGCAGTGGGCTATTGCCAAGGGCAAGTACACCTTCTCTGTCGGCTCCAGCTCGCGCGACATTCGCGCCTCGGCGGACATCACAATCTAAGGCAGACTAGCTTTGAGTTTTTTTTTTCTTTGTACATACTTTTTTAGAAGTCAACTGTCCTTGACGTTTTGATTGGACTCGCTGTGCTATAGATATAGACTAGATACCTCTTGCTGCAATTCATTCTCTTCTGCAACATGTTGTAATTTTGCTCCTGAATTAGTGTGTCCCATGACGAATAAATGACTTAAGTACACCTAATTTGACCGGCATTGAACATTTCTCGAGACATTAGAAGTGAAGGCAAGGCTTGGCTCCCTCGTATATTCACCATGGTACGCTCCTCCGATGGATGAACCAGTCCCTAATATTCAGATTATTGCAGTCCGGAGAAAAAGAAGGAACTAAACAAGATGACACGATCAAGACCAAAAGCGACCTAGACGATCCCGGTCCTGCCCCTGGAAATTGTGATTTAGAGATATTCATCTCGTTTCAGCTACAAAGCCTTCTTCAAACCTCTTTCATCTACATCAACAATTCTTTACTACGACACATGAAGGCTGTGGGTAAGAGGCATTGGTTCCCCCTTAGCTATAAAGACTTCTTGGGAGCCTTCTTCAACATCATGATAAAAACTTCAACAGCATCACGACTTCTGAAATGGCGCTACGGCAATCATATCCATTGGCCCCAGTGCTTCCACGACCACATCGTCCACAACACTTGCGGGAACTTGACCCTTGAGCTCGAGCACAACAAGCCTATCTCCAGACCGAGAAAATCCTCCTGTCGGAGCAATGGTTGGCGGCAGAAATGCCGGCCTTGTGGTCATGAAATTGAGCGTACGACTTCTCGAACAGCATCGTGACTTCTTCAGGACATGGCGCTTCTTCAACAACATCGTGACTTCTTCAATATTATTTCAACTTATTCCACAACATTACGACTTCTTTACCATCATCGCGATTTCTTCATCATTTTTTTACTTCTTTACCATCTTCGCGGTGTCTTCCTATCAATAACTACAGCACAGGCTTAGAAAAGACAGGACACCATCGTGACGAGCGGCTTCGGAAGCAGCGATCAACAGCAAGTCTTTCCAAGAAAGAGCCATCTGGAAAGATGGACTGACTTTATATTCAGGCTCTGCGCAAACATCTACTCCAGCCAGACATACCGCTTCGAAGGCTTCCTCTCCATCAACACCATCAGCACATTGATGCCACACACAAGACATTAAATAGAGGCTTTGATTCAGCAGTGACAATTTTGAATCAGGTAAAAAGTCTGCTCCGAAGCCTATTTCGACATCATTAGCACATTTGTGCCATGTAAACGATAGGTCATCACCATGAGCAGGTTTGGAAGCAGCGATGAAGAGTGAGTCATTTCCAACAAGAGCGACCCGAGTTCCGGGTTGGTCTCTTCTTCGACTGGAAATATATCAGACCGTATTCATCACTTGAAAGGATCCACGCTGACGAATTGGAATGTACAGGCTCCTCAAGACTGGCCTATTCTCAGACTGCCAGGTCAAGTGCGATGGCAAAACGTGGAACCTACACATGTCCATCTTGTGCGGCCGCTCCGCATACTTCATGGGATTCTTGGTTGGCGATTGGCCGGTATTTTCACCTGAACACAGACAGACTGGAAACGTTTCTGACTTGGTTATAGAAGGCCAAAGCTGGCATTGTCGAGATCACCTGCTTCACTGCACAACAGATGGACTGGATCATCTCCTGGATCTACACCGGTAGTAAGCAAATTCCTCCCCTTCTCTCATATTTGCTGTTATCCCCTGCACTCCTTTCATGAGGATGGGCGGGAACGGCAATTGGCTTACAATCAAATGACTGGGTACAATATGCATTTCATCCATACATCAAGCTTCACTATAAAAGTAATATAAAGGATGTTGGCTAATTGAAGATTGATGTACTAACAAACAGAATTCGACTTTCGCAGCGTTGAGCAGAACAACACGCTCCTGCACACCTCCGTCGAACTCTGGACGTTGGGCGATTACTTCCTTGTGCAGAACCTCTGCTCTCGCGCCGAGCAGGTGTTCGTGAACCTGACAAGGCGAGCACAAACGGCACGCTACCACCCCGACCCCCAAGATTGGCTCAATGCCGGCCGCCTGATCTACTTATACTACGTAGATATGGACAGCACGCACAGCCTCAAGGAAAGATTCGTGGAACTTACACTTGAGAAGGCATGGGCCAGGAAGCAGAATCTCCAGATGCCTGAGTTCAAGACTCTTTGCCAGGAGCATCCCGAATTTGGGAATGACTGCATGATGAAGCTTGTTGACGATCGTATCTCACGGCTTCAGTGATCTGAGATACCTGGGCGGGGATTGAAGACACGAGAGGGGTCCCTGAATTTTGCTTCCAGACGATTCCGCACCTGAGATGAACATAAAGGGGCTGGATGTGCATTGGTGGGACTCGGGAATGGGTTTCTAATATGAGTTACAAAGGCACGACTGACATGGAGACGGGACATCCGTTGCGAGGAGGAGCTTAATGCCAATGCTGCATCTACAGGGGCTCCAACTTATTTACCTAAGTTACTTACAAACTTCTTACAGAGAACGTCTAGCTTCCATCAGTACCACCTTCCGCTGATCGTGCTGTTCCCGGTTTTCGGCAACACCGTGAACTTGGTCGTCAGACCCTTCCAGCTCTCACTTTTCTGAGGGTCAGCAAAGGGTAGAAGAACCGCAAACCTCATGCTATATCCAGGTCAGCATCGTCTGAGCCAAGGTCCGTCGCCTGCTGATGAAGATGACATAAGAACCTACGTGTAGTTCCCCGGTGTCATGACACTCCCGTCACTCAACTTGCCGAACCAGTAGTACGTCGTCGTGAACCCACCCGTCGTTAACGCATTCCTCGCCACATCAGTCTCTGGGAATGAGAATATGTCGCTGGCGTTGTGACGAGCGGGGTTGAAGCTCGATGTCTTACCAGCAGAGGCCCAGGACGTGGCCGAGCCAATGTAGCCTTGTGTTCCAGACTCGGGAGGGTACTTCCAGTCTCGGGCCTCGTCATAGTCGGATTCGTAGATCTGGCGCCCTGGATTAATATCAATCTGGACTGCAAAGGGTTTGGGTGTTGTGGTTAACTTACATCCCACCGAACCTCTCTTGTTCCCCATTTGACCTTCATAAACATCATGGGGAAGTCCTGGCTACCACTGGCGAGTTCGAAACTGAAGCTATATATCGAATTAGCTTCGCTCGTACCTCATCAGTGGCAAACCCACGTTGTCTTGTTGCTGTACGCGCTCGTCGACCTTAACCACGGGTAGGTCCCATGGAAGGGACTCTTCATCTGCCTCTGCAAGTCGAAAGCAAGTCCCTGGTATGGAATGCCGACAGTCTCCTCGTTGCTGCCCTTGACGAGGAGGCGGCCTCCATAGACTGGGAGCGCTGTTTGGGTGACACCCTCGGGTACCTCAAAGACAAATCTGGTAAAGTCAGCATCACGTTCAATAGCGGCGATCAAAAGAGAGATACTCACTCTGCCCTCCTCTCCTCTCCGGGACCCAGCACAAAGTCGTTCGGTATCGACGCCCTCGCCGAGATATTACTGGGCACAATCTCCGCCCTGTACCTAATTCTCGGCGTCTCTCCCGGATCCCGTCCATCAAACGCCTTGAGCATCTCAACCCCAGCCCAACTCTCAACCTCGAAGCTATAACTCACCATTTGGTTACCTCCATTCCGAACCATAACTCCTTGATCTGCACGGAAATCGGCAGTGTCATTCAACCCGAACCTCACCAGCTCCAAGCTCGTTCGATACCCAACAACCTTGCCAGCATCAACAAGCCCGCCGCCAACTTGCTGCGACGGCGCCCTGTACGTCTCATCCGCCTCACCACTGTACAATAACCAAGGCAACGATGCCCCCGTCGAGATGATCCTCATACTCAGCTCCCTCGCAAACCTCTTCCCATGAACACCTCTCCCACCATGCCTGGAGATATACAGCGCCGCAACACCAGCAACATACGGCGTAGCCATACTCGTCCCAGACAACAACACAAACTCGTTGTCATCCCCACCAGGCCACGTACTAAACACATCCGTCCCAGGCGCAGCAACATCAGGCTTGACAGACAAATCATACAACCCGCCCCAACTCGTAAAGTACGACGGACGCAGGACATCTTCTCCCGTCGCCTCGTCACGCTTCACCTCCGCGCTCGCGACACTAAGCACGTATTCGCCTGAACTGCCCGTGCTGGCGTAGTATGCCCCTCCGTTCCCCGAGTTCCCTGCGCCAATGGTGACGACTACGCCCTCAGCAGCAATCCGGCTCGCGACAACGGCCCACGCGTTGTTGGCGAACCCCCCTCGGCCGCCGATGCTAGCGGTAATAACGTCCATACCATCATTGTACGCGCGGAGAAACGCGTCAATGATGGTCGCCTGATCCGTTCCATCCCCCGGCCCAAAGACCTTGTATGAGTACAAACTCGCGTCAGGCGCAACGCCAACCCACCCCGAGGAAACATCCTCCCCAGCGAGGATACCAGCAACATGCGTCCCGTGCCCTTGCCCATCAGCCGGATCGGAGTCAGGCTGCTTCTCCGCGCCGACAACCCATTCGTCCCCGACGAGGTCCCAGCCGCCAGCAACCTTGAACCCGGGGCCGAACCCCGCGCCGAGGGCGGCGTGCTTATACCATACACCCGTATCGACGATGCCGACCTTGACGCCCTGGCCGCGGATACCTTGTTCGTGGAGTTTATCGACGCCTGTGGCCCAGTGAACTGCGTGCGCTGATGCCGCGCTCGGGTCGGCTGCGACTTGGCGCTTGACGGGGGCGATGAGAGTTGCTTTTGTATTCGGCCAGACAGCTACGATATCCGGGAGGACGAGGAGGGATTCGAGAGTGTGGTTGTTTGTTTCTAGACTTGCGCCGGAGAAGATTGATGAGTCGTAGGTTTTGAGGACGCGGATTCCTGTGGAGGAGGAGAGTTCGTCACGTTTGGCTTTCGTATGGGTGCCCTACTTGCAGTCAGTTTGAGGAGCTTCATAGGGACGGAGGAGACTTGCGCTGGCAAATTCGATGATGAAGCGGTTTGCTTCAATCTCACGAGAGTCCTCATCGGTGGTATCTTGAGCGGTGGCTTTGCCCATTAAGGCAAGGGTGGATAAGATCCAAAGACAGCGCATCGTTGCTTTGCGAAGATCTTCACCTTGGCCTTCACAAACTGATTGTAACTGATGAGCGCATCGCGATGGGCATAGTGACTGGCATTGCGAGCATCCTGGCTTTTAAACCATCGCGATAACTCACCGAATACTTCTCTGTGCACATTGCGCAGTCCCCAGCGTTGCGTATCAATTGCCCCGCATCTCGTGCGAGCAAGGGTTCTTAATGTGCTCGTCGACAATCCAGTCTCGGGAGAGGAAGCTCAAAGAGGGAGGTCGAAAGCGGTGCTGGGTCCGTTATCGCCATTTCAGGATGTGCCAAGACAAGACTGGGTGAGCGGATGAAGATTATTCATGAGCTGATGGACGGATTGAGTGAAGTCGAGTCTTTGCGATGTTTGTTCGGTTCTTCACTGGTAGCCACTCGTCGCATCGTTCATCAAGTCGCAAGATACTCACATTGAAACAAGAAATGATATCTGCGCAATACTAAGCAACAGAAACCTCATCCAAACCCGGACATTGTCGCATTCGCCAAGAGATCCACTCAACTAGGATCTTGAACCTGCGCAAACGTGCTCCAACAGGAGTTGCCAACACGAATATTCCCATCCCAGATTGCTACGGGGGGAGAGGCCGTGGTGCTGTCAATTGCCAGCCGCAGTCAGTCTCACACGATCAGGATGCCAGTTTCATCCAAACATCTCCAATTCCAAACAAAAGATTCGTCCCAAAGAGCAAAACAAGCTTGAATTGAGTTCCGACCATGCCGCCCGAGCGTATGCCAGGGACCGGGCTGTAGATCCGACGATCTCGAGCACGGCCGCTGTCAATGTGACGTTGTTTTCTGGAGCGGTTACACACACCAAATTGGAGTGCTGAGTACATGTGAAAGAGGCATCACGAAAATATTGAAAATACAGAAATCAGGTCCAATGTGTAGGATAAGAATATAGTCTATATGCATCTAGCCCGTCTCTTTGGGCTGTCCCGCTCCCATGCTGAGCCCTATGCATCATGCCTCGTATCAACAACTTCCCCATGTTGCTGGATGAATTGTCGCTCTGTTCATCGGCGTGTGTGTCTGTGAATATCAAAACAGGTTAAAAACGCAAATACCGGCGGCTGAAAAAATAATCAAGAATGCCGCTTTCTATCCATACTCCCGGCTGTATGACTCCCCCAGCTGTATGCTATTCTTCCTCGTTACAGCTTGCTCTGCTGCTTCTTCAGTCACTTCTCCGACTCGGGAATATGTCCCTCAACCGTGCTGAGAGCAGCCAAGTTGACCTGACCAAAGTGCTCATGAGCCTCACCGCCGAGACCGACTCCGGCCAGCAAGGCGACGCACTCGACCACGTCCTCGGGCTCCAGCAGATGCCATCTCGCAAGGGTGACCTTTGTGCTGGCGCCGACGGTGACGGTGAAGATGTGCTCGTGCTGGACCTCGGTGCCCGATAGGCCGTTGAGAGCGCGGAACATGTCCTCGTCGGTGAAGTCGTCGCCCAAGCAGAGAACGAACTCGACGGGGCCGGGGTGTTTCTCGGACGCGGGTGCCGAATTGTAGGTGTGTACGAGACGCTTCGCAATCTCGCCCTTGTTGATGAATGTCGGCCTGACCTCGAGGTTGGCCTTGCCTGCCATGACTTCGACATCCCACTTTTGAGCCACTGTTGACTCGAGCTCCTTTTGGCATTCGCGGGCCATGTGGATGCCCTGCTCGGGGTCGGCAAGACGGTAATGCCATGTGAGGGCGCAGCGCTTACGCTCGACAAAGGAGCCTTGTCAATGTTAGCGGATGTTCTTGTTGATAGGAGTCAGTGAAGGGCATTGCAAACGTACCGGGCACTCTGTCGGTGAAGGACTGGAAGCAGGCCATGACCTCAGTTTGCCAGCCCATGTCGAATTCGTCGGCGAGGTTGACCCACTCATCGGAGCCAGGGTTCTTCATGAAGCTGCCGTGCTCTGCGCTGAAGCCAAGACCGGCAATGTGGCCGAGGTGCTGGGTGAGGAACTCTTGATCGCGTCCTGAGATGATCCACACAGCGTTCTGCTCGTCGCTGGCAAGAGCCTTGAGAGTTTGCAGGACGCGCTCGGAGGGAACGGCGGCGCTGGGCTCACGGACAATGGGGGTAAGGGTACCATCGTAGTCGAACATGAAGAGGCGCTTGCCGGCATCGCGGTAGGTCTTGAGGAGGGTGGCGCGATCGAGGAGCGGGGTGGCGGCAACGTTCTTCTGGGTGCCGAGGACGTGGACGTGCTTGCGGATGAAGTTATCGATCCAGCTCTGGACGTTTCGGGTGGTGACGTGGTTGTAGAGGTTAGCCTGCATGTGCAAGCGCTTCTCGGGGGTCATTGTGAGGGCGTTGTTGATCTCGACAGCGACACCGCTGAGGTCCCAGGGGTTGATGTGGATGGCGTCCTTAAGGCTACCAGCGGTACCGCTGAACTCTGAGAGGATGAGGGGGCCGTGACCTTCGCGCTGGCAGATGACATACTCCATGCTAGTCGTGTTCATGCCGTCGCGGACCGAGGTGATGAGACCAATGTCGGCGGCGCGGAGGAGAGCAAAGTACTCGTCTTGGCTAAGGTACTGGGGGTAATGCTGGACGGGGGAGAAGCCCAAGCTGCCGTACATGCCGTTGATACGCATGACAAGCTCGTTGACGCGGGTCGCAATGCGGCTCTCGGATCCATCGTCGTCCTTTTCCTCCTCGATGCTGGTGGGGGAGGTGACTTGGATGAGGACGACCTTCTCGCGCCAGTCGGGGTACATTTCGAGGAAGCGCTCAAAAGCCTGAAGCTTCTGGGCGACACCGCGAACCGAGTCGAGGCGGTCACGGCCGACGACAATTTTCTTGCCCTCGTACAGCTTCTTCAGAGCGTCATACTTTTCGGTAACGGCGTCGGTCCAGGCGTACATTTCGCACTTGTCGGCATTGATGCCAATGGGGAAGACGCCGACCTGCACGCGGGCACCGTAGGCGTCGACTCCACCACTATCCGAGGGGAAGCCCAGAACACGGGTGCAGCAGCTGGAGAAGTGGCGCGAGTAGCTGTAGGACTGGAAGCCGACCAGGTTGGAGCCGAGGACGCCCTCGAGTACCTCCTTGCGACGCGGCAGGCAGCGCAGGAACTCGGAGGAGGGGAAGGGCGAGTGAAGGAAGAAGGAGATGTTCATGTTGGGGACGCGCTGGCGGAGCATGCTGGGCAACAGCATCAGGTAGTAGTCGTGGACAATCACAATGTCGCCGGGCTTGTAGAGGTCGATAATACGGTTGGCAAACTTTTGGTTCATGCGGTAGTAGTCGGCCCATTGCAGGCGCTCCTTGCGACCGTCGGTGGGCTCGTGCTGCTTGTAGTGGAAGAGGGTGTAGAGATCGTGCTCGGCGTAGCGGCGCCAGCGGCTCTGGTCCTTGAGGAGGATGCCCTCATCTTGCTGCTCGTCGTCGTCGCAGAGCCAGACAGGCACCGTCTTGATGGTTTTGCTATGGGCGAGCTGGGTCTCGAGGCGGGCCTGGTCCTCCTTGGGAAGCCAGAGGCCCTCGCTGGGGGGCGGCGTAGGCAGGCGGGCATCGCTGTCGATGGGAATGGGCGCGGAGAGGGTGTTGAGGGAGGAGAAGTGTACGGTCGTTGCGGGTGGGGTGCCAGGCGGAGAGAGGACGTCTTGGGGCGTATCGATCTCACCAGTCCAGGCGACGACGGTGTGGTTCCAGGGCGTCTCGTCGGAAGAGAGGTAGGCAAAGGAGTCGAAGAGGGCGGACTGGCCGCGGCGCGCCTTTAATTCCTGTGAGGGCGATGATGTCAGCGGGGTTGCTCAGGATCGCGAGATCAAGGGATATGGTGGAGTAGCGCGATTGAGAGGATTGAGGGAGAAGGAGAAGCTGTAGGCACAATGGAAGCGACTGTTAAGGGAAACGATAGAAGACTCACCCAGTCGGAACCTTTGCGGTACTTGAGGGAATGGGGAATATTGAAGGTGGCCGAGATGATGTTGCCGCTCAGCTGCAGGTCTGGGTTGGCGCTGCGAATCTGGGAGAGGGACTCGCGACGGCCCATGGCGGCGAGGGTCATGCGCTTGAGGATGTCGCCGGGACCTGGCGACGGAGGGACCTTGTTTGCGTTATTTGTCGACGAGTTTGAGGGTGACGATGTCGGGTTGCTGGTGATGTTGCTTGTGCGAGTATGAGAGTCGTGGGTTGTGTAGTTGGAGGGAGGGAAATAACTGCTGTCGCTGGGCGATTGGGCGCGCGAGCTGTCGGCAGAGTTGTACGTGTGCTGGTGGATGCCCGGCGTCACGGCGTCCGACAGGGCGATGCTTCTGAGTACGGGGTTGGCGGGGTTGACGGGCACAGGATTGACGGCCGTCGAGTCTGGCGCGGGGGAGTTTTGCTGCTCCATGACTCGTTATTTCTGTCTCTCTCTCTCTTCTCTGTTCTCTGCGACGCTGCGTCTCTTCTCTTCTCTACCCAGTACAGCCTGAATGTGGGTGGTGGTGGTGCTGAGTGTGGTGAGTGTAGTGGTGTGCCGGGGGAACGTGTAGAGTTTGGCTTAGCGGCGGTCCCAAGGTACAGGGGACAGGAGAAAGAGGCCGAAGGGAGGGAAGACAGGCAGATTATTCAGACGAGCCTCAAGTGGGAAATGTGACCCTGCGACAAGGGTCTGGATGAAGGGATGAAGTGAGGGTGGTGATGCTTCGTCTAGTAGTAAAGGTGAAGGTGAAGGTGAAGTTGAGTGGAAGGGAAGAAAAGGTAAAGATGGGAAAGATGGAAAGAGAGAGGACTACTCGGTAGTTTCCTCAGAAAGTGACGGAGAAAGACAGACTAAAGGACGGTTGACCGCTTGGAGGCTGGACCTGAGCTGGGGCTGGACCGGGGGATCTGGAGACTCAAGACGGAATACGGGGGAGGGATGCAGCAAAGAAAAGGAATAGACGAGAAGAACCAGAGACGAAAGACCAGAGACAAGAGACCGGGGCAACAGAGCACGCAGTGTCAGTAAGCAACCAGACAAGCTTGAAGCTACCGTCACTGATCTGATGGCAAACCAAACCAAACCAAACCAAACGAAGCCAACGGTGAGAGATGAGTTCAGAGTGACGGGGAAAACGCAAGTCGACGGGGGTTTGGAGCCGGGGTGAATTCCAGGGCCTATGGATCGATGGAATGTGTCTGTCGAGTCCAAGCAGTGGGCAAAGGTGAATATGCTTCCAGGTGGATATTCTCGTGGGATTCTCTCTTGGTGTGCTCTCTTGCTGATGGTAATCTTGGTGCTGTGATACGATAATGTAGTAGAGGTATCTTTCCGCAGTGAGCACACACGAAAGATACTTTGTATCAGAGACTACGACAGCTGCAGGACGCTTTGCTCCTATCCTCTCTTCTCCAGACTCCAGTTTGCCTGTCTGGTGAGCGTGTGGGTGGGTGGTCTTCTCCGGCCCAGGCCAGCCTCCCAGTCTCCAGAGTCCAGATCAGAGTCCAGAGTCTCCCGAAAACACAGGAGAACTTCGCCAGGGATCGCAGACTGACAGACGGACTGAACACGGCAGAACCCACAACTGCTTGCCCACGAGCAGGGTGATTGGCCTTGGTAGGCGATGCCAATGCCGCTGTATTGCTTGGTAGAGGCTTGTACCGTTGCGTCAGGGATCTCTCTGCTCTCTGTCGTCTTTCTATCTATCGTCTGCTTTCCTATCTGATGGTGAAGTCGACAATACGTAGTACGGATAGACAGTTCAACCAGACGAATATGCCAGGTAGTCTCCCAGTCAACTGTCCGTGTCTCGGAGCTGAACCACAGTAGAAATCATAGTAGATGCCCCAAATCGAGATGGTCAAAGGTGCTGAACGGTTCCAGACAGAAACTGACAGCGAGGGGCAGCACATGTCACTGCGTCCTCTACCGCCGTCGGAGCGTCCACCGTCTATTTTGGTGCCACATAATCCTGGGAGGTGCTGGGACGTGGGAGGATACCATGGTCAAGCTCTGGCGTTTTCCAGCTTGTTCCTCTCAGCGTCCAGAGCATTTACCGGGAGGACCAGGAGATGGAGAGATGGAGGTGGGGGAGGGGAGAATCATTCCGGGATTAGGCGTGGAGCTTGGCCAGGAGTAGACACAACCAGACCATCTTGACCAAGGTCATTGACATGTAACGGACCAAGTGGAAATAGCTGCGTCATAAGTCTCTCCACACCCCTTCAATGCGGCGGGATACACCGAGAATACCTCCTCGAGACTCGCCCATTACCTGGACCTTGTTTCCTCCCCTGGCGCAGCTGGTTCGGACGGGACGAATTGCTCATGACGGGATTGGCTCAATACCTTTGGAAAGGGGCCATCAGAAGCAAAAGATCCAATAACCGTCCTGCCTCTGTCTCTTGTCCACTGGGTGCTCGATGGGAGTGTTCCTGGTGGCCGGAGGTAGAGCACCGGTGCTGGACCTTGGTCCTTGGTACCCATGCTGTACGGAGTACACCATATTAGTAGTATAGAGCTTCAACAAGATGGTGCTGAGTTGACAGGTTGGTGGGATAGTGGGATGTGCCCTGGTCGATGCCGCCGTCTCTGTCTGCTCTCTGCTCTGTGCTTCCTGCGGCTTGCCATTGTCTGTGTGCCCTATGATGTCTTTATGATGCAACCCAAATCGCATCTCTGGAAAATCCATTGTTCGACCAACCACTCCAACAAATCTTCAATAAGCGCAAGGGGAATACTGGGCAAGTACGTGAGGAAATACTGAGAAGGGGAAACACAAGAAGGTACAGTCATTGACAGAAAACAACACCACAGCGGGACTGAGTAATGATCCCATCCCCCCCAGTCCAAAGTCCACAACCTTCTCGGCTCTCAACAGATGATTGGGCTTTGCACTAGCAGCATCCAGACAATCCAATGTGAGCCGAGAAAAGGGCGCCGGGCTACAAGCTTGAAGCAGCCACGCAGCTAAAGCATCTCACCATCTCATGGCGTGAGCTGAGCTGAGCCCACTAGAGCTGGCTGCTGGACACTATCCGTTTCTCTACCATTTTCCTACCTAATACAGGGTAGACGTGGTAGACTACCGTAAACCTGCGACTGCTCCCCAACCGAAGCCATCCCCGCCACTGTCTGATAGTGCCCGCCCTGCTGGGTGAGCCACGTTGAGCTGCCGCCGCGGTCATCCCGGATGGCGCAGACACCATCAGAACATGATAACAGAGCCGCTGTAACTCTGGGTCAAACCACTGCGCAAACTGACTCTGATAGTAAACTTCAGAAAAATGTTGACCCACCTGACGTAATTCGAGGTAATTATCTGCCCCCTATTCTCCCACTTCGTCTCCGTGTTGACTCGAGTGAGGCTCTCTGCTTCGCTCTGCAACAGAGTTACTTCAAAGCTGAAGCGTATCGAATTTGGATATCGTAAACGTTCCCCGTGCGTGTTCCGGCCTCGGGGCTGTTCCGTCTACCTGTCATTGATAACTCTAACCGCCTGCTCTGCTCTGTTTTGATTTCCGAAAAGACGGTGAGCGTTGCGGAATGCGGACTAGGACGCTCTGAGCGACGAAACGACTGGCCTTTCGCTGGCTGCTGCAATGCGACTCCGACTTGCACTTGTTTGACTTGATGCGTTGTGAAGGGCAAAGGCAGACCACAAAGTCTGGACTATCTCTCTATCAGGCCACGTCGGACGACCTAGAGACCAACTGATGTTGAGATGCAACCACTCACCCACCGTATTCACTCAAGAATTGCAGAGTAGGTAGCAGACCCGCTCGGGATTGTGAATACATGTACTGAATAGAGAATGGTGACCTTATTCTGCCCATTCCGGGGCATTCCTCGAGGACGCTGGTTCCACCGCCTTTTCAACATCCTCCTCGATATGCAACTCCAGTTTCCAATGACCAACGGCTTGGCCCATGAATGAGCGATGACTGGATGGCTTGATGAGAAACGTGCTTTCAGTCCCGGTCAACTGTCTTCATTCCATGCATCAGAGTCGACGACGAAGCAGACTCCAACAAACCCGCTAGACCAACAACAGCTGGGAACCACTACCCTCTTGCAGTCTGCATTCTGCAGCCTGCGGCGCCTGGAGATGCCATCATGCACCCTCGGCCGATTCCCTCTTAGCCCTCATTATCGCCCGCCGTCCTCGCTCCGTTCCCTTCCCAGAATCAGGAGCCGCAGTGTGAGTAACCCATTTTCGGATGGTACAGGCGGAAGGGGAGGGGAGCACGTCCACCCCATGCCATCGGGATCAGAATTGTGATCCCCGGGACCTTGGGAGGATCTCTTATCAACCTTTTCCAGTCTGTATCGAGTTGGAACTTTGCCATGGCACAGGCGGCTAGAGCTTCAGAGCTTTGGAACGCAACTGGCGAGTAACCCTCCCCCTCATCTCTCCATCTTCGTTTCGTCGCTTGGAACTCAACCAAGAAACGCCCCCCCCCCCCCCCCCCCCCCCCCCCAAACAAGATCAAAGTCTGTACGGATACAGACATGCATCAATTCTGTTTCTCTACCGCGAACGTTATAGCCCGCAGACAGACGACGTCCAGACCGGCCTCCAAGCTCTCACACTCTGCCCAGCATACCCACAGGCCCCAGGGGTCCGCTATCTCGTCACCCCAATTCTTCATCCCGCCTTCACTTCTCATCGGGCCTAGACCCAACTTCCACCAGGATACGCTGAGAGGTTGGTTCCTCGCCTCAATCGGCCACTTTCTCTTGTACGCCGCGGTACTCCTGGCTGCGCTACCCGACGCTCTCCGAAGCAGCTTCACCACCCAACCCTTCAGTCACATCAGGCGGAACGGCATCGCGCATCAACTGAGCCATTTTCCCAATCTAGACTCTCCTCTGTAGTTCCCGATGCCACCGACTCTGCCCGAAACTCGATGCAAGGCCGTCGCTCTCCGTCTGATCTCGACGCCCGATCCAACTGCTACTGCATGCTACCACAGACAGACAAGGCGCTTCTTTTGGTCCGAACGAACGGGAGAATCTCCCCGCCATCAGACCAGGCACATGGCGCCAATCCCGCCTCTCTAGTGGCTGCCGCACCCAAGTAAACACATCTCATCGTGGCCGTAGAGTCCGGAAAGGTCAGCCACGTTTCTTCGTCTTCGGCGGCATTGTGGTTTAAACCTGATTGCGTGCATCTTGCGTCCCGACAGCTCCCTTTTGGAACGTGCTTACTGGCTGCCGTACGTGATCGTTCGGAACATCGCGCCGAGGGTCATCTTACGGGTGGTGCACCCCATGACCACTAAAGTCAACATAATGCCTATGCAAGCTGGGACTTGTTCGTGAATGTCTACAACTCAGTCTGTCTATATTGTTGTCGGACTCCTGGGCCTCCATGGTTTGATCGCGTCATATCCAATTGGATTGTCACATATCAACATAATCCCCGGTGAGTCCCTCGGTGAGTCCCTCGGTGAAGTAGGTAACCTCATCTAGAAGTCGATGGGGTCCTTTCAGGATACCGCGGATTTGCTCACTAACATGTCTTCAAGCCCATGATAAGCCACTGAACCAGGTTCTTTACTAATATATCGTGTTTCGTTCTTCAGTCTGTCTTTCCAATCAAGCCCCCGGCGTCTCGATCCCAATTGAACTGGCGTGAACGTTCCCATGGGCACTTACAGCGCTATGCACTCTTGCAGGACCTTTCTCGTGCTGTTTGAGGCTATTCCCATTGCTGAGAATAGCGTCTCTTTCATCGATCTGTAACCTGAGTTGTGACTAGTATTGAATTGGTCCTCCTAATTTGTCCATTGTCGCCACATTGAAGAGAGAAGAGAACACTGTTCCAAGTCACAATGAACAAGTACGAAAGTCCCATCTCTCCAGGCAGCCGTCTCACTGTCGCATTTAGTTGCCGTCCTGCCCGGTTTGGACACTTTCCCTGACGATAAGAATCACTCTCTTAAGAATTGTCAAATCATGTTCAAGCCTGGTGTCAAGTCCAACAAGGGGTTTCCGTCAGCGTGGGTAGCTACGTAAGCATGAGATATGTCCATCAACATCTACATCAACCCCGCGCTGACTGTCGCTCCAAGGGCGTCAATTCTCCACTTCACTCCGATCAAGTAGATACTACACCTTGTATCGCGAGTAATTGTCCCAGCTCGACTGTTAAAGAGAGAGATATACTCAGAATAACAGCTCATAGATCTCCAACATACAATTGAGCCATCATCATGTCGTCCCCAACGATCACTCTCTACTACAGGCCCGGCTCGTGCTCCCTTGTAGCCCACGCCCTCCTCCTCCATCTCGGCATCCCCTTCAAGACCGTCCAGCTGAGGCCCAACGCCAATAAGCGCTTCGAAGCCGCAGACGGTAGCTTCACCCATGAAGACTACTGCAAAATCAACCCCTCAGGCTACGTTCCGGCCCTCGTCCTCGACAGTGGCGAAGTCATCACAGAGCTCCCGGCCGTCCTGACCTACATCGCCTGCATCGCCCCGCCCGAGCAAACCGACAAGTTGCTGGGTTCCAGCGCCCTCGACCGCGCAAAGGTGAATGAGTGGACCAACTGGCTGAGCGGGACATTCCTGGGCGCGAGTCTCGCGGCGTGTGCGAGGCCGTACCGGTTCGCTGATGGAGACGAGGCTCGCAAGGCGGTCGCGGACAAGGGCTGGGAGCATATCTTGGAATGTTACGAGAGGATTGAATCCAGGCTGGAGGGCCGAGAGTGGACTGTGGGCGACGGTCTGACGGTGGTCGATTTGTACATGTATTACTTCCGACGATCGGCAGTGTACATGACTGATTTGGGCGAGTATCCCAACTTTGAGCGCTTACAAAAGAAGGTGGAGAAGCTGGAGGGTATTCAGAAAGTGTTGCAAGTGGAAGAACTCAAACCGGTCTACGAGTGAAGTTCTGAGTAATGATGATACTGGTCGATAATACGATGAACTCTACTGCATCAGTTGATTGCTAAAGGAAGTTGTTCCCCCTTGCACATCGGCTCAAACAACTTCAACATGTTCGGCATCCTTCTTGTCCACCACCCGATCCTCACTCATCCTCTCTCTGGAGCTCATCTGAGGCCTCTTTCTCCAGATAAGCTTGTCCTTCAACGAATCCTTTTCGAATAGCTCATCCATCTTCTCCAGTGCAAGGCCTACAAAACATTAGTACCATGGTTCTGAACGCTTCGCCGTAATAAACTCACCGGCGGTCTCCGGCACAAAGAACCACGCGAACACAACCATGATGAAGCAAAAAGTGCCGTAAACAAAATACGTTCCAAACCCGCCTTCACCAAGCGTGGCAAACATGCTTGGTGTAGCTTTGGCGACAACAAAGTTGAAAAGCCACTGACTTGCTGTGGCCATGCCCATCATGACGGCGCGGAGACGAGCGGGAGGGATCTCGGAGCTGTAGGTCCAGACGACAGGGCCCCATCCAAACTGATAGGTGGCAGCAAATATGTAGATGGCTACTAGAGCGACGTATCCCGGAGCGGTGACGGGCTCGCCGGTGACGGGCGGATCAAAGCGGATGTAGAAGCCAACGTAGAAGAGAGCGATGCCCTTGGAAGATGGCATATTAGTATGTTTTCTGGCTTGTGAACCCGGCATGCTGACTCACTTGGACGACCCCAGTCCACAACAGACTCTTTCGTCGACCTAGAGAATCTGTGACGAATACGATGAAGACGGTACAGGCAATCATCTTGACGATGCCGTACACGCCAGTCGCAAAGAGGCCGGTCGAAGATCCCGTTAACCCAACACTGGCAAAGATCCGTGGACTGTAATATGTCATTGCATTAGTGCCCGTTAGGTTACTCCACATCATTAGAGTGATGCAGAGCATACTGCGTCTACGGTAAGACTTGATGGTGAAGGCTTCCTTCAGGAGCGTGAAGTGGTTGGCATTAAGGGAGAGGGCCCTTTCTTCCTCAAGCTGGCGGGAGATACCATCCATCTCCTCTCGAATGTATAGATGATCAGCTGGGAGATGTCGGAGCTTTGCTAGAACGGCTAGAGCTTTATCGGGAGATTTCTGGGCGAGGAAGCGGGGAGATTCATTTGCGAGAAGCATGCCGATGAAAAGGATAACAGCTGGAAATGCTTGCAGCCTAGGGCTTGTCAGTGGAGTTGAGGACCCAGTTGAAGATCCGATACTTACGACAGTGGAAGGATGTACTGTGTGTGGCCCTTGATGTGGAGGAGAGAGCCATAGTTGACCCAGAATGCAAGCTGATCAAAATCTGCGTTAGCACTGAGGTCTAGTCGTACAATTATCGTAGGCTAGGGTGGACTGACCGTCAACCCAGTCACAATGCTGAGCTGGTATAGTCCAGTGAGGAGACCTCTGATACCTCGCGGTGCGTTCTCGGAGACGTACAGCGGGTTGACCGATGAAGCGATTCCAATGGCGATTCCGGCAATGAGTCTAATCACATAAGTCAACTCACCCGTGTCGAGACTCTGACATGGAGCTATGAGTTGTCTGCTTACCTGCCCACATACATGGCCTCGATATGCCCACTAGCAGCAGCCTGGAGTGCTACGCCGATGAAGACCAGTAGCGAAGCGATCATGAGAGAGAATCGTCGACCAACTCTGTTGGCGAGCCATGTCGAGAACAGGGCACCCGCAAAAGCTCCGGCTTGTATGACTGAAACAATATTGGACTCCAGGTTGGCCAGCACGGTCTTGGGCTGGTTCTCAAGGCCATATTGCCTGAAAGGAGGCGGCATTAGCAAATGTAAATCAAAGGCTGGGGAAATCACAGGCAACTCACTTCTTGAATGTGTCCATGGTCAATACACCTCCGATAATGCCCATATCCATGCCGAAGAGGAGGGCACCGCCGCAAGCCTATGGGCGATTTGGGTGAGTGCCTGGCCCTCTATCAACGGCCTGCAAGACGCAACTTACCACTAAACTGATGAGAATGACACGAGCGTTGTATATCTCAGGAGGGTCGTTTCTCGTCGCCTCGTTGCGAACAATCTTCTGCAAGAAGCCCATCGTGATCGTGCTTTTGGTACAGGGATGTGTTCGAAACTTTGAAAGTTCTGGTGCCCAGTTGCTGAAGATGTTCCCTCTCACAGAGTCCACGAATTCATGTTCGGATGGACTCAATAAGTACGCCGAATCCCAGTATACAGTCCATATGAATCGTGTTGTTTCAACACTTCCACTTCTCATCCACGGCAATAGACGGAGACTCCATGACACAGACCTCGGAGAAAGAAGTGAGCCAGCATGACCCCCTGTGATCACAACCCCCCACCCCGCAATCCCAAATCCGGGGTACAGGAGAGGGGATGACAGGGAGAGCCACAGCCCGAAAGCTACAGAAATATACCGGGTGTTGGCGCCTACGGCGAGTCAGAGTCTAGCAGAAGTTGGCGACACTTAGCGTCGGCTGTAGATGGAGGTGGCGTGCTTCGCGGGCGATGGCTGAGAAGATGCCGCTTGGCGTTCTCTTGCGCGGAGCATGTCTTGGTGTAGGTCTTCCTGAGCGACTTGAGAGTTGAGACTCTTGGCCCCAGGGCTGAATTACGCTGGTGATGCTGGTAAAGCATCGAGTCGCAACCCAAATACTAAGGTTTCCTGACCTGATGCACTTCGCTCGCAGTTCGAAAAGACTTTACGATGGTCACTTGTTCGGTTTGCGTGTTGACCAAGAGACCCAAGAGAGTACAACTAAACAAACGCATGGCAATCTGTGTGTGATTGCGACGTTAGAAGTGCCTATCGGCTTGAGCACGTATATGATTTAAGAGCATCAAGTCGCATGGGTCATGTCAAATTGTTCTTTATGTCAAAAGGTAATTCCTAAAAGTAGTTTACATGATGTGAGCTCTTTACAGTGCTCTTCTCCAAAGCCAATGTTCACAGTCCATCAAGTGGCTTATAAACCTTCATCCAGCGCTATGGGGTGTTAGTCGCGGTCTCAATCATGGGAGTTTCGGGAATCTCACTCTATCATAAGGCTTCTCAGGGTCAACGAATCTCAAATCCGTGGCTAGACGGATCCTCGTTTCAGGGTCCTTATTCTTGCAGCTTGCGTGCACCATGTAAGGGTTGTGGAAGATGACATCGCCAGTTTCATACTCGGCAATCAGCCATTTCCTCTTCGTCTCCTTGCCGTAAGAGATCGTATCTCTGCTGAGGAACCCGCCATCATTCATGTTCTTATTGAAAGCGCTCACTCTCTCCTCATCAGAGAGGTTGTTGGCATGTGCAGCAAAGTCATCTTCAGTCTTCATGCCGATGTCTGTTGACCCTTCAAGGTACATCAAGCCGCCTCCCTCAAGCGAGACGGGGCCGATGGGGACCCACGCAGTTAGACTCGTCGGCGGTCCAGCACGAAGGTACATTTGATCAAAGTGTACTGGCGTCAGCTCACTGTTGGGAACGAAAGCCCGAAGCATCGTTCGCTGGAGCATGTGTGGGGATGGCCAGCCGGTGAAGCGACTGACGAACTCGCGGAGCTCCGGGAACTTGCAGAAGTTGACGTAAAAGTCGGCTTCGTGCGCAGAGACCATGAGTTCGGCATACTTGTCGCTCTCGGCATCGTCTTTCAACCCGAACAGACGACGGAGGTTTCCAGGAGGAAGGTATTTGCGGGTATCTTTTCCTGAAAATGTGCCGTTGACTGGCTCACTGCCTGGTTGAAGGAGGCCGCTTGGGCTCATGTGGTCGAAATAGGCTCGGCGACATTCGAGGACGGGCCCGTGGGGAAGAAGGTTCTTGATCTATTGGTCATTAGCATAGTCTCACTGGTTGATGGAGGCCTATAGATCGTACAAAAAGATATCCATCTCGCTCGAAGCGTTCTCGCATAGTCTCAATGGGAGTATCGGCAGTAGTAGGTTGGAGATAGCCGATGGTCGCAGGGTTCATAGGGCCAAAATTTGACTCAAGACTGAGGGTTTCTGGATTGGCAGGAAAGTAGTTGCCATAGATATCTTCAATAGCCTTGATGGATGCATTCTTCTCTTGCTTCAGCTTCTGTTGAGGCAGAGTCGTTGGGACCAATGTTGGTGACTCGGACTGAAGGACCCCGGGTGCCATGGTGATAGGAGAAAATGAGTAATTATGAGGTATTCGTAGACGAAAAAAGATGCTTTATCGTATGGTTCCGAAAAGTCTCAAATTGGGCAGATTACAGAACGAACGGTCTAGTCGAAAAAGGGTGGAAAGTGTGTTACCCTTGGCCCATGTCATCTTTTATAACCAACCCATCGACACGTCTGAAAGTGTTCGTAAGTCGTGATTTGCACTCGCCTTTTCCAAGGACCTTGGTTAAACCCATCAATTAGCGACGCTTCCGCAAGTCATGGCGAATGTCAGTCGAAAAGATGGTGGCATGGAATCATCGCCGTCTATTACCGTACCCCGCGTACCACGTTATGACCCCGCCATCCATAGTCGTCTATAGCCGGTCATCGGCCGTCTAAAACCGTCTTCGGACCCCGCTGCTCTCGTGCGAGCAACCCCAGGATCTCGCATCTGCCACCCCGTCTCTTCCCCGGACGGGACCTCAGCCATGACCAAAGCCACCGGTGTCAGACAATACCGAGCATGCGTGAGATGCCGCGCTCGGAAGACGCGGTGCGACTTGTGGGTCACTTCCCTTCAATACCTAGTGTCACCGCGTTCCTTGAGCCCTCTCAAGAACACGAGAATCATCCCTTGGAACCTTGTCCAAGCCCACAGTTGCTCTTGTTCCTCGCTTGCCTCAAGCTAACAAGAACCAAGAAATAGCGTTGGGGAGAACGGCAAGCCACCATGCGCAAAATGCGTCCGCGAGGGAACAGACTGTTCACTTGCTGGCTCTCGACGCGGGGGAGACTTCTCACAGTACCGGAGTACCAAAAGACAAAGACGAGACAGCGATATCCCAAGCGCAACCTCGGCGACACCAACAACCCGCTTTACTGGTCCAGAAGCTGCAGCAGAGACCCCTAGAGCCCGAGAAGAGCCGTTACATCGGTCCCTTCAGAATCCCTCAGATGCGCTCCTCATACTCGCCCGAGCCGCTGAGGACGAAGACGGCGAAGGGCCTGCCCTAGACAACCCTGCTGGTTCAACCCCCGGCAACGCATCTTCAGTCCTAGGTTCGATTCTTTCACCAGTCCAACAGAACCGGCAAGATCCATTCTTGCCATTTGGCTCTCCCGTAAATCCAGCTACTATCGAGCGAGACATCGGGGAGTACCCGCCGGTTAAGAATGGCGCCTTGGATGCTCCTCTTCTACACCATCTCTTACAGCAGTGAGTCGATTCTTCTTGAGTAGCATTGCATCACTGACATGCGTAGCTATGCAACCAATTACCATTGCTACTTCCCGATAGTGCCAGCCAACGTTTTACTTCCGCAATACCTCCACGAGACGATAAAGCACGAGTCATTTCTTCTCACGGCGGCCCTCGTGGTGGCTTCGCGGGACCGACCAGACCTGACAGAACTTCATCAATCAATATGGACACATATGCGACACCTGATACTCGACGTTGTGTTGGGAATGTCTACGATCCGTAGCGTCGGTTGTGTCGAGGGCCTACTACTGCTGGGAGAATGGACACCCCTCCTTCTCGGCCAGAACGACGATGGCGGCGAAGGAGCTGCTTGGTCTATAGTGGGTTTAGGCGTCCGACTTGCGTATCTGCTACGACTGGAAGAAAGCTCCTTTCGAGCAGACAAAGAGGCTGACCCCGCGATGCTCCGAAGGCGTCTGGCCTGGACATGTAAGTCGCTTCTTGCCATACAAGAAGATCCCTTCTCACAAGGTTCGCTCAGTTACCTATCTCTCCGACCGACAGATATCTATTCGAATGGGACAGGCTTTTTGGTCCCGTGGCCCTGCGCTGTCTGCTCGGTTCACCGCAGAGGACTTCCCCTCCCTTCAGCCCCGATATGCTTCCGGGGATGACTTCGCGTCACTGCTTCAAGCGCAGGTTGAGCTAACAACCCTTTTCGGCAACGCCCACGACATCTTGTTTGCCTCCAAACAGAGGACCGCTGAGCTCATGGTCCGTGGTGACTACACTAAGTACATTGACGATGCAAGTCGCGCCATCGTTGCGTGGGATCTGGTCTGGGCCCGGTTGACAGCCCCCTCTCACCTCAAGTGCTGCTTGAGAATGATGGAGAAGTACCTCCGTCTCTACGTAAATGCCTTTGCTTTTCAAGCTGTCCTGTACAGGGCATCGTTATCTGGCACGGATGTATCGAGGGTCTCGTGTTTCCCGCACTCAGCCATGGCGAGCCCGGATGCACGAATGGTTTACGAGGCAGTTGATGCTGCGGAAGCACTGCTCAAGATTGCGATCGAGGACATTGACCCCGAGAGACACTTGCGGTTCATGCCAGCTCGGTTTTACTTGTAAGTACAGAATCGCCAGCTGTCTCTCAAGCTCTGGAGTCTGATGTTAAGATTGTGATCAGGTATGAGATACACTCAGCCGTCTTCCTCTATAAAGCTCATGCAGCTGGAGCGATCTCGTCTGGGAAACACGCCCAGACTGCCAATCTTATGCGGCGGTTTGTCGGCGTTCTAGAAACTGCAGCCACAAATACCGAGCACATTGCATCCAAGTATGCAAAGCTACTCAATGGTTTGTGGTTTCATAAAAGAGGATCGAGAGGTGATGCCACCAGAAGTCGGATTTCTGAGGAAAGGGCACATGCCGATGAAGTTGGCAATCTCGCCTTTGCCCAAGTCAATGATGATGAGCATGATGACGACACAAGCCATCTCCCCTCCTTCGACGAGATTGGTCTCCAACCTTTGGACTGGATTGAATCTGTCGAAGGACTGTTCTCAATGCCCGCCGCTTTCCCTTGGGACCAATCGATATACTAGAAGTATTTTCAGTCGGATTCTACCTCGGGAAATCGACTATCATTACCATTGTAGCCGGCCATTTTCCGCGAATTACAATGGAAGATGAATCACAAAAGTGTGCCGAGGCAATGAACTTGACGCATGACAGTTAATCAGTGGTCTTAATTGACTGAGTCGTGTGATGCATCACTACTCTGACGCAGCATTTAACCCTTGCGTGGAGCTCCTCTTCCCCGCGCTCAGTGGGAGGAGCTCCACGTCCACTTCCTCCACTGCTCGTAAACCACGAGCGATGCGGACGGAGCTACTGCAAGTGATCTACAATCTCTGGGGCAGCTCCTCTTGAAGTCGTCTTGGTTGTCATGATCCGTGAGCCGGGATTGTCAATGCCGCCACAAGCTCCACGTCTGGTTGAGCATCGAGAACATGGAGGGTGGTGTCTGTGGACGTTCCGCGGAGCATCGTTCCACGCCCTCCCAACTCCCTTAGAACGCATCTTGCTGTAAACATCATTTGCCAATGTTTGGTTATTGAAGCAGACAGAAGGAAGATTAACAATCATATAATAGCCCAAAGTTCAACTGAGTTTAGTAGAACCATACTCCAACAAGAACATCACCCAGCAAACAGAATCAGAAAGATCTTAGAGCATCGGCCTCAGTCATTTTCTTCGGCACATCTGATACCCTGGATACCATCTCAACGTTGCCCAACATGGTCGCCGACATCAACCAACTTCCGCATTACACCCCGCCCCCGCCAACACAAGAAGACCGTGAGTTGCGCTGACACCTTCAACCCACCAATGAATGTAAGAGCATGAGCTGACCTCTCCGGGCACAGTCGACTACGTTGACCTCGTCAACATCGATCTTTCAAAATTTGATACCCCCGAGGGCCGCCAACAGCTCGCCAAGGATCTGTACGAGGCCGCGACCGGCTATGGTTTCCTTTACTTGACAAACCATGGCATCTCCAACGAGACCTACGAGCGCCAAATGCGCATCGCCAATGCGGCGATGACACTCAAGCCTGAAGAGAAGGCCCCATATGAAGGTTAACAACACCACCGTTGTCCCCAAGGAGTCATGCTAATCTCGATTGTAGTAACCCCCGAAGAGGATGCTCGTGGACTTTACGCCGGGTACAAGCCTGCGGGCCCTCTCGGTCACAAGGGTGGCTTCCCCAAGGCCCTGGACCACTACAACATGCTTGTTCACGATCCGTAAGTGATGCCAGCATGTCGGGAAGCTAGATGGAGTACTGAATCATCACCAGCAAGGAACGCCCCCACCCCGAGATCATCCGTCCATTCATGGATGAGACGTACGAAGTCATGAGCTATATCCGTACCAACATCCTGGTGAAGCTGCTCAAGCTTGTCTCCATGGTTCTTGAAGTTCCCGAGGAGAAGGTCCTCTCTACACACGCCCCTGGTGGATCCAAGACTGAATACTTGAGATATGTGAGTTGAACTTCTCAACGTGAGTCTCATGTTGCTAGTGCTGATAAGTGATAGATGATGTGTGAGCCTCGGTCAAAGGAGGAGAGCGAAAAGTATCGTGATATTTTCCTTGCTGGACACACCGATTGGTAGGCCTTTCACATGTCCAGCCCAACTGATGGAAGTCATCTCTAACTCTATGTCTAGGGGCACCTGGACATTCCTTTTCTCCCAGCCCGTCGCAGCACTGCAAGTTCTTTGCCACGAGACTGGCAGATACCGTCACGTTCGCCACGTTCCCCACGGAATAGTCGTCAACTTCGGCGAGGCACTCGAGCGCCTCACCGGCGGCCTCTTCAAGGCAACAATCCACAGAGTCATCCGTAAGCATCTTCTCAAAAACACATTTTGCAAGTCCACATCTAACACAAGAACAACAGAGCCGCCCATGGACCAGCGCCACCTCCGTCGCATCGGCGTAATCTACTTCTCCCGCCCCGCCGATGAGCGCGAGCTCATCCCCATTGAGAACTCACCCCTCCTCCAGCGTATGGGCACCGACAAGCCCATCGACGAGCGAGTCTTCTGCATGGCTGACTACCTCGACGCGAGAAAGCACGGGTGGAAGCGCTACGACTTTGACATTGACCGCCCTCGTGAGGAAGGTGTTCACCAGGACCCCTTTGATGGCGAGTACACTGACCCCGAGGGCCACAAGTCGCTTGGAAAGTTTGATAATGTGCCGCGTCTGCAGTACAGCTTGCCTACTGTCAAGACTGGCACTGCTTGAAGGGAGATTGTAGAGCCTTGATGTAATGGGACAGGCTTCGCTCTGTCTTGACTTTTGGTTTGTAATCGGGAAGGCGCACATTATTGCAATGAATTGAAGTTGGTCTTTTATCAAAGCCTGGTTTTCTCGTGATGATATTTTCAACGATGCTTCACAAGAGTAGACGGATCATAAGTCGTTACCAAGACGTTGTATGCGAGGCTTCCGCACTCAACCTACCTAGTTGCTAAAGTGCCCTAACGAGTCTGTTGGCGGTAAGGGTATGATAGCAGCAGGTCTCGCGATGTTGGAGGCAATGAAGATCACTCTCCATACGATGGTCAATGGACCTCTATAAGCTAGCACTGCCACTGTCGAGGTTCCCCATGGAACGATATCTGCCTCAGTCGGGCCAGAGGGTACATGAAGTCACCTACCTCATTATCAGTACCTTGTTCGATGTCGAGGATTAATCATTACGAAGAAATGCGGACCGAATCAAATGTGCTTTCATCTTTCGAAGTTTCCAGGCGTTAAGTGCATGGAAATGGTAACTTCATTCAATGAGTGGTGCTGCATACGCCTCCCTCGCCTTGGACAGACTCTCCTCCATGACCGTAGCCACCCACTTCCCAACTGGCCAAGTTGTCCGCTTATTGAAGTTGGCAACGATCCATTCCAGGAACCGCACTTCGCTCCGTGCAAGATCAACGGGCCTATCATCCAGCATTGCCAGTGCAGCCGCCGCATTCTCGGCATCATCGTCTCCGGCATTCCCGACACACGCCATGATGGCATCCAAAACAAAACGGCTGGGATTGGAGCGGCCGTTGGTATTGTTACCCATTCCCATTCCCAGTCCCATTGCCATTCCGCCAGGACCATTCATGTCGTTGATGCTACTGCGTTGAGCCGCAGGCATTGTTAGACGCACGAGGCGCCAGCCCACGAGGCAGATCTTGAAGCCGAGGAGGGTTATGAAAGGGTTTTCGAGGGAAGGCGGTGCGGTGGACTTTATCGGGTTTAGCAGATCGAGGGCCATTTCGAGATCATTGAGCTGCGAGGGGAGTCGTGGTCAGTAACTGCGCAGCAGATAGAATGGGAAGGATGTCTCTTGCTATTCTGAAAACATCCCGGTCTTCATAGATGTCTCGTTTGTCTTTGGAACGTGGTGTTGCGAGGTGGCCGGCAGCTACTTTGAAGTCAGGTCCTGATCTCCACCCTGAAGACTTTGGTAAACGTAATGACACTCACTGGCAATTGCTAGAGGAAGATTTGACTCGACAACACCGCTCACTAACAGCGAGTCGGGGTGTGATAGAGTGATGGAGGTGTAGTACCAGAGTATCCAGAACGTGTGCCACAGCGGAGTCTGGTCTGAACCGTCTGGAAGGACATCCATGCGTCCAAAGTCGAAGAAGCTAAACACCGGCTTTTGGTTACGGGGCACCAACTCAGCAATTCCTTTGAGTGCCTGCGAGATTTGCGCGTGCTGCTTGTCTGTCAGGATGGAGAGGGCTCGGCGCTGTGCCTTTGGCCGTTCAAGTAGACAACTAGCGTGCGTGAGCTCGCGGGCCATCATCTGAAGCTGGGTGACGAGGATGACGGCGGCAAACGGCGAAGCCCAGAGAAGCCTGAGTTTCTTGGGCTGCCGTTTACCGCCGCTCTCCTTGTCGTCGCCGCGCCCTGAATGCAGGAGCGTTTGGGAGGCTTCGTAGAAGAAGCCTTGTGATGGGGGTGTCTCGTGGGAATATGCATTATCGTCGGGCTCGTCAAAGGACTTGAATCTTTGCCGGCGGCGCTCGTACCAATCTCTGTCGGAGCGAGCCAGCCAAATATCCTCGCAGCATGGCAGGTCGTACTTGATCTCGAGCGAGGAAAGCATCGGTCTGAGGTTGCAGAGGATGGCGAGCTGTGAATCGAGGAGGTAGAGCATGTAAACGCATCGCTTCTTTGATTCCTTTTTGATAAAGTCCTGCCATTGTTCACTCAGGGCATCGGCGCTCACTGGCTCGTTGATGTCGTCTTCGTCGCCTTCTTCGCCGTATCCGCTATCCTCGCCAGAGTTCGTAGACATAGATTCTAGCGAACTGTCTTGGGACATTTGGAGAAGTCTTATCGCGTCTATGAGGTCCCGATGAATGCGCTGGGCTTTCAGGAAACTTGTGTCGTTGCCGCCGTAGATGCCGAGGAACTCGAGGAGGAGGAAGGTTTGGAGAACCCAGATCTCTTGGTATCGTGATCGATTCTGTTCAACCTACTAGGTCTGTCAGCGCAAGTGAGATAGTCAAGTGAGTTATAGCCTACTGACATATTGTTGGAGTGCAGAGAGTGTAGACTCGAACACGGCTTTCCGAGCAGCCTCGTCAAAAGCAGACTCGCAGTAGAGACTCCCCACAGCCGTAATAACGTTCAACAGAGGTACTTGTGTCGAAACAATGTGGAATGAGCCCTCGTGTAGGATTGGGAAGTTTCTGTGGAATCCATCAAAGAAAGCCTCGACGCATCGAATCTCACTCGATATTCTGTCCGTCTAGTGTTAGTGTCAGGCTAGACTTGAACTGCTTAGAGTCATGAACTCACGCTGAGGATGGAGGCTCATAAGTCTGGTTATGCTGCTGCATTGGCTCTGATACTTCATTCTGAGCTGGTGGAGGATGTGTCAACAAGACGTCCATCCAGGCTGTTGTGCTGGGTGAATCGACGTGTGGTGTATTGATAGCAGGAGGAGGTGCCGTCTTTGGTGGTGAAGCTTGGGAAGAGACATGGCAATTCTCTACATGTCGTTTCCTTAGATCACTATCATTGTTGTCAGAAAAGATTGATTCCCAATGTCGAGGTCCGGCTGTACCTTCGCGCAAATCTCGCGCTGCATTGGTTACATGGGAAACAGGGAGCATTTCTGCCTCTGTGATCTAATCTGACGTCAGCTTCCCACTTGGATTTCAGGAAAAAATCAGAGAATCTCACGTGTGTTTACATGGCGCTTGAGATTCTCCTATGTGACGTCGCTGTCGTGTTAGTGAGGACCAACAGCAGGGCATCGTGCCGCAGCTAGAGGATTTGCGTACCTGACGAGTAAACCCCTTCTTGCATGTGGCGCACTTGAAAGGACGAGGAAGACTTTCATCCATTATGGAAGACAGCAACATAGGACCGCGCTTGTTTGTTGAAGAATGCGAACGCGCACATCGTCATGGGTTCTTGCGAAAGCCTGGGGGAGGCGGACGGTATCGAGGGGCTTTACGGAAGTGGACAAGGACCCCTCCGAGGTACGTACCGAGTGGACGCCGGCGGCGACGGATAAGCAGATAAGATACAGACTTCCCGATTGGGTCAAGCTTGTCCACCCACGTGACTGATAAGGTACCTCAGAGTGGTGGACAATTTGATTAGCTAAGGCAAACTCGCTTCTATCCGCCCCCGGAAGCCAATCAGATCGCCTCAATTGGCGATTCGGGCATCGATAACCGGCCCCGCTATTTCTCGGAAGCGGAGAACTCCCCGCACCAACAGCTCCGGGCTCCCTTTCCTACGCGTCTCTATCTTCCTCTGCCCCTCGGATATCGCATTGATCGCCGGGATTGACTGTCTAAAGTTTGTCATGTCTGATTATTTTTGTCCACCTTCAGATCGGCTTTCCTCCGGGCACATCCAGCACGTACGGCTCGCCATCAATCTTCTTCCAGATGTCATCGCTCTTGATGCGCCAGTACCACGCATGGATGGCGGGGTGCTTTTCCGTCCACTCCTTGGCAAACACCTGCAGGTTTTAATGATTAGCATTCGAAAACAACATGTTCCGAGATCGGATTGTAGCTCGAGGTTTCCCGAGAGCTCTCCTGTGAGAGTAGGGGCCACTTACAAACTGGTATCCCCTCGCAATGGCCGCAATCATGAAAAGATCGGCTATCGTGAGCTCGTCGCCCACGAGGAACTTCTTGCCTGTCAACGCCTTCTCCACCACACTGACCATGCTCTCGCTGTTCTTCTCCGCCGCGGCGAGGATTTCTGGTGATGAAGGCGCCTTGCCGATGACCGGGTTAATCCACGCCATAATGGGAGGCAGAAGCTCGCTGTTGGCAAATGAGGCCCACTTCAGGATCGTGGCCTCCTCCTCAAGAGTGGAGCCAAGCAGCTTGGTCTTGGGGTCTTGCTTTGCGACTGCCACACACTGTCAGCTAACGAAGAAAGCAGATCAGAAATGTATGCTCACGGTAGATGGAAACAGGAATGCACTCGAACAATGTGAACCCGTTGGGGCGCTCGAGGGCAGGCACCTTGCCCGGGGGGAACTTTGAGAGGTAATCTTCGCCAACACCGCCCTTGCTAGCATCGACCTTGATCGGCCATGCCTCGACGAATTCGATATCGAGCCTAACAGTGACGCTCTTATTAACAATTGCGCCTGGCGAGTCTGGCAGAAACGACGCAAATAACTTACTTGTTGTACTCGGCGATGTAGAGGCATTGAGTAGCGCGAGGCGCCTTGGGGTACCAGTAGAGCTTTCCGAAAGACATGGTGTGAGATTGAACTTCTGCAATGTTTGTCGCAATGAGAATGATGTGAGGGTAGAGATAGGAATGACGATGACGGTGTACAAGAAGCAAAATCTAGCTCGGCGTCTGGTTAATAAACCCAACAGCTTGCAACGCGGCAAGTTGACCGAGTCCATCTCCATTGTTTGTCGGGCAAGCTGCAACTCATACCACATTTCTCAACTCCACGATAGCAGTGTCAATCACAGCCATCTCGACGTGGAGCTCAAAACAAGGACCCCTTCTCCACGTGGAGCACACCCTGGGGTAGCATGGTAGGTCATCGCACCCACAAAAAAGCCGTCTGCGAGATCTGCAGGGACCGGGACCCTAACCGGGCTGTCACTTCGGAGTCGTCCTCCGGTGCTTCGGGCCTCGGCCGCCGCTATCGGCAAATAGGTCAAGTGTTTATCAATGAGAACCGTCTGCAATAGATTCGGAGAGTCGCGCGAGATCTTTGAGAGAGCATTCTGATTTCACGAAGAATTGGTCCGCATCACATCATCTGCATCAATCGATCCAGACCTTCGAGATGGCGCAAAGACAAGTTGGGTGGGTTGGGCTTGGCTCAATGGGCATCGGCATGTCCACCAACCTGCAAAGGTTTCTCTCCTCATCCGGAGCTCCCAACTTGATTTACACAAACCGGACGTTATCGCGCGGCGATTCTCTCAAGGAGCTGGGCGCCGTTCCGGTAGAGACTGTTTCGGAGGTGGCCCAGAAGTCAGAAATCATCTTCTCTTGTGTAAGTGGAATCTCAGCCCCGTGAACATATCACTAAACTTGATGGTCTGACGTTACCGCAAAGGTGAGCAACGATGCCGTGCTTCAAGATACTACGAACGAGATCATCAAGTCTGGAGACATCAAGAATAAGATCTATGTGGACTGCTCAACCGTACACCCCGATACTTCCGCCGCTGTTTCAAAACAAATCACCGAGGCCGGTGGCCAGTTTGTTGCTGGTAAGCTCAATTTCAAATCGCTAAATCGACGTTCATAATTCACTGTCTGACGGCTGAATAGCCCCCGTTTTCGGAGCCTCAGCTATGGCCGCCACAGGGAAGCTCATCTTCGTCACGGCCGGCCCCGAGTTCGCGACGTCGGCCATTTCTCTATACCTTAACGGTGTCATGGGACGCTCAGTCATTCCGATGGGCACAGACGTAACCAAGTCAAGCTTGCTCAAGATCGCCGGAAATATCGTAGTCGTCTCCTTCATGGAAGTCCTCTCCGAAGCCCACGTCTTTGCCGAGAAGACCGGCCTCGGCTCACCAGTATTGGAGAACATGATCTCGGATATGTTTGGTCCTGTTCTCGAAAGCTATAGCAAGCGTATCACCAGTGGTTCGTACGCTCCGCCGCCTGATGGAAAGGCTGGATTCGATGTGGCGCTCGCGATGAAGGATTTGAGGCATGCACTCACCTGTGCCAAGGATGCGGGAACAAAGTTGGAAACTAGCGAGGCTGCATTGAGGCATATGGAAAAGGCTAGAGAGTTTGAGGCCATAAGACCGTTGGATAGTAGCTCGATGTATGGTGCAGTGCGTTTGGAGGCTGGACTCGACTTTTACTCCGATGCTTGCAAGGAACGAGATGCCAATAAGTAGAGTCAACGATGCGTCTAAATGATACCAAAGCCATCCATAATGTAAGATCATGGGTCCAAGTCTGTTCCTTCTCCCTTCAACTTGAATGCCAATCTCATCGGCATCTCTCTCGCCATGGCTGAAGGCTATTTTCTGAGCTCCTTTGCCTGAGTTCTCTCGCCGATGGCTTGTACAGTTAACATCACTGAAGGCAAATAGAGTCTCTTCCCCCATGCAAAAGGTGTGATGTTGCTTCGAAAACAAAAGAAATGCGTCGAGGGGGAATCGAACCCCCGGCTCCCCGACGCTGCTTGATGGCAACGGAGAATTTTACCACTAAACCATCGACGCTACTGAAACTGGTGATGCTTCCAGTGGATTGGGGTGTTTGCGCTGGTTGCTGGTTTATCCTGTAAAGGGGGTAAGTGGTGGATCAAAGTGGAGGGTATTGATGGGGCTCGAGAATGGAGTCGATTAGCCTCACTTTTCAGATATTGAAAAGAAGCTCAGTTAGGTAGCAAAACAAGGTTTCAACAAGCAATTGTCTTCTTATTCAGGTTGTAAGCTCTAGACCATAAAGAGGCTGAGGGGCATGCTCCCCGTGCAGTAAACCTCCATCGCCCGCTTGTCCCTCCCACCTTGACCGGGACTGAGCAAAGTCTAGTCTCTTGTACCCATGCTTTCTTGCATGAAGGTATTGTGACATTGTGAAAGTCTTCTCATCCAATGGTTCATGGATGCCCAGTCTCCGAAGCAGGGGACTGTGGAGTGGTTGAAGTTGTTGTTCGACCATTGGTCTGGCGAAGTAGATGATCCCCAATCTCTTCGCTCTCTCCTGGTCTGATGGTGGTTTGACAACTCTATGTACAATAGCCCGAAAGAGTCCACCTGTAAGGAGTTCCAACGCTTCGCCGACATTGACGATGAGAGCCCCAGGAACGTAGCGCACCCACTTCCAATCACCGGATGGTAGTCGTATTTGTAACGATGACACCGGTTGAGAGAAGCGAATTGTGAAGGAACCCAGATCGGTATGTCCTCCCAGCCATAGGTCTCGATGTTGTGTCCCACTTTCTGTAGGGCGCGGATTATACAGAAGGTATCTCAGGTACTCCGAGCATGGTTGTGTACCCGAGGCGTGTGTGGAAAGAAGATGATTTTCTGGAATCTCGAGTATTAATGCTACAAGTGCTAGAAGCTTGGGCATCAAATCTTGACGAAAATGACTTTTGAGCTTCTCGACTTGAGCAAAGTGCGAGTGCAGAAGTCTGGGGTGTTCATAGTCGTGGGTATCCTTAGTCGCCAGGAAATTGTAATGATCCACGGTCTTGTGAAACCCCTCCTTATGTTTTTGACTCCCCGAAGGCTTGAAGCCAATGTTTAGTCCCTCTTTTTCTTGCTCGGGTGTCGTTTCGAAAGGCCACTTCTCCTCTGGTGGGAGTGTGAGAAGGGCGTGGGCTAGATCGACTTGGGAGGAGTAGAGGGCGTCGGGAATGCCGTGGTTGGTAAGAGTTAGGAATCCATGACAAGTGACTCCTTTCAAGAGACTCGCAGCTAGTTTCTGACGGGTGCTATCGTCATCGAAGTTCGAAAAATCGAGGTTGACAAGGTCAACGTAGTCGAGGTCTTCTTTGGTTGGAGGGCACTGGGTGAAGTTTGGGATCTGACGATTTGACTCTGCTGTCATGTCTCGGGGTGAAGTAATTGGACATAGATGGTGTAGATTACTTGAACTAATTATCACAATGCAACATCTGGAATTGAGAGTCCCAAAGAGGCAGCGACGCTTTTCTTCAACTAACTGACCCGGCGCGCTTCTCTGGCTAACATAATGACTGTCTTTTGACAGCTTAACTCAAAGTCTTGGCTCCAACTCCTCGTCCCAAGACGTCCTCTGCAAGTTCTCTATCTCGAAGTGGTGCTGATGCACTTCGGACTTCGGACGTGGACTGGTGTAGTGTTTATGACAGCTGAGGACAATGCTCCACACCAACACTGCCTAAGGAGACCTCTCAACAAGAGCCGAGTTGACTCAAGACAAATCGCCTCACTCGTATTAGCATTACCCCCAACATCATGACACCCGGCGCAGCAGGGGCCGCGGCGAGATCTCCGGCCGTTGTATGCCGTACCCCGCAAATGCTGTGGATCGCAGGAGAGGTGGAGGCGAGCGGAATAATCAGGGAGTTTGAAGGGATTCAGACTTCAAAGATACGGGCGTGGCTTGACACGCTTGACAACTATGAGGAGCTCCACCATTTAGCTTCGTCTGATCCTTGCACGCTCCAACGCTTATCCCCCTCCTTATCTCCTAGCTTGATTACAAGACATAGCAATTAGTCTCTCTAGGCTCTCTGCAACCATCCCCCTTGTGTGGACAAAGGTGGAGCATGCCATGTCGACTTGTTTCGGCGTACTTTCACGACTCGCTTGGGTTGTCCGGTGATGCCTATCTCTGGCGCGCGTTGCAACACCACGTACCTTACGTCCGGGGGGCAATGAAGGCGTGCGCACGCCTTTCGACGTCAACCAACAACTCCCAAATCCGGTTGTGAATAGCCGAGACGTGCACTCGTGAGGAGCTTGAGGACACAGAGAGTGTGCACTGGGTATAATACGCAATCACGCCACTACTCCTCGTCCGCTTCTGCTTGTTCCGACCGCAGCAGCCCCCTACTCATCTGCTCCGCCTCTTATCGATTCCCCGTTGTCCTCTGACACCAGTCTCTTTGTCAGCTCCACCTTGACGAAGCTGAATAGCAGTTCCATTGACCAATTTCGGTTGGTTGTGCGTTCACGTGCCGTTCAGCCTGAGCTTCTTTCGTGCGAATAGCCTCGGAGACCAACGAACTACACCATGGCGGGCGACACCGTGGCTACCAGCGTCCGCGAGGAGCCGGTGACCAATGCCAGTTGGTTGGACAAGTGGCGCTGGTACGAGCGCAATACTTCCAAGGAAGAGAAGGTGTTATTGCGCAAACTTGTAGGTTTCTATGTCTGGATCCCGGAACGACCTTGCAGTATTCTAACATGTGCTAGGATTTCATGATCTTGACCTTTGGCTGCCTCACCTTTTTCACGAAGGTGAGTCAAACCCCTAGTTTTAACGGCACTGTTATAATGTTGACTGACTTTGATCGGATAGTTCCTCGACCTCCAAGCCTTCCAGAATGCCTACGTTAGTGGAATGAAGGAGGATGTTGGCATGCAAGGCAATGACTTGCAATACACCACTGGTGTCTTCCAAGCTGGTTACTGCGCTGCCATGATTCCGTCCAACATCATTCTCACTCGTGTTCGGTAAGTACAATAGTCCAACTTGCTCAAGGACTTTGACATTTGGAGGTGGATTCACAGACTAACAGAACGCCCATACAGGCCCAACGTTCTCATTCCGGCTTTCGAGATCCTTTGGGGTATTTTGACTCTTCTCACGGCTTTCGTCAAGGATATCAAGCATGTCTACATCATCCGATTTTTCAGCGGTGTGTTTGAGTGTGTGGCGTACCCTGGTGTCATCTACTGCATTGGGTGTTGGTATAAGAGCACCGAGATCTCACGTCGGTTGAGTCTGTTCTACGTCGCAGGCCCTTTGGGAACTGTGAGTGCATTTCTTTCCAATACTTTTCAAGTTGTTCGACTGACGCAATGTAGATGTTTGCTGGCTACTTCCAAACCGCCTGTTATACCAATCTTAACGGCGTCAATGGACTAGAGGGATGGCGCTGGCTCTTCATCGTCTGCGGCTGCATCACCCTGCCCGTAGCCGTCCTCGGCGCCGTCGTCTTCCCCGCCCGTCCCGATTCCAAGAATCCCTCGTGGCTCCTGACGTCCGACCAGATTGCCCTTGCTCGCCGCCGCGTCTCTGAGGGCGGATCCGAAGCCCCCAAGGTCAAGTTCGACCGCAAGGCCATCACCGACGTCTTCAAGGGCTGGCACTGGTACGCCTTTGTGGGCTTGTACTTTGTCTTTAACCAGGCCATGATCACCAACGGACAGCCTTTCAACCTGTATCTCAAGGCGAACAACGACCGGTATTCCATCAGCCAGATCAACAACCTTCCCACCGGACAGTCTGCCATTTCCATTGTGGCTGCGTTGGTTGGATGCTACTGGGCTGATGCGACGGGCAAACGCTGGCTGCCTTCCATCTGGATCTGCGCTTGGATGACCCTCGGTTCGATCTGCATGGCTGTGTGGAACATCCCCGAGGGACTCAAGTTCTTCGCCTTTTACGTTGCCGGGCTCGGCGGTGCGCTCAACCCGCTGTTCATGTCCTGGGCCTCCGAGGTCACTTTCCGATCTGCCGAGGAGCGTGCTGTTGTCGTCGCCTCCATGAACGCGGTCGGCCAGGCTCTGCTTGCGGGCTTGAACATTGTGACCTTCCCAACGCCTCTAGGTAAGGAATCTCTTTTCGCCGAGTCGTTGATGAGACCATACTAACAGAAGCATAGCCCCCAGATTCAAGTTCGGTTGGTTCTGGGTCATGGCTAACAATATCCTTCAAGCCGGCCTGGTGATGGGCATCATGGTTTTGCACAACCGCGAGAAGCGATCCATGCAGGTTCTTGAGGGACAATCAGAGGACGTGGAGCAGATCAAAATCGCCAATGCCACCAAAGGCGATGATGAATCTTGATGGAGGCATTCCGTAGCCTGGGAATGCGACGGGGCAGATGGGACTGCTCACCCCATTTTCCCTTCTAACTCCCTGTTTTTGATTTTCTGTATAATTAGCTACTCGGAAAGCGCGGCGTCCTGGAGTCTGTCAGTTGGGGGGCTTCATGATACCCTGTGCCACACCGAGAACCAGCCGCCGGTTGGGGGCTGTGGCTACACATTTTGGAATTGGTGCTTGTTGGATTTTGGAAGGAATGAATCTGTAGAAATATGACACTCGTTAGTGCATTTGTCTTGGTTGAATCATCCTGGTTTCTCATTATTACCTCGCTAAAGTGAGGTCATCATCAATCATACCGATGTACTCTTCGTCTCTTTCTTCTGGGGATCGTGCATTCGCATGAAAAATTGCCCGTAGGTTGTACCACGAGATCACATGCTCCCGGGCAGATAGAGCATGGGAAACTCGATGTAGTACTTGCAAGGCCTCTCTCCGAAAGGTGATCCATGCCTTCAAGTAACATTCCGCCTCACGTCGCACATAGTTGTCCCGGCGGAACGCGATCAAGCTTCAGCCAAGCGAACCTAGCTTCACTCAACGGCCACCGATCATTGTCGACACAGTTGACCATAGAATGTTTAGTCATGGTTTCTCAATGGGCTGAGCTAGGATCTGGGCACGGGAGCCTGCATGAACGAGGCTGGGAGTCGAGGACTCGAGATCATGGGTATCGTCAAATACCAAGCATTGTGGCGTCATCGGTTGTAACGGCGGAAAGATTCCGCTTAATGGAACTCGGCTGCACTATTGGGAAATGTTAGATATGGCCGAGACTAATTGTAAACAAAGTAGATAGCTCAATTATCAATAAAGGTCAAGAGGCAGGTGCGGGTAGCCGCGTACTTGCAGGTTTTGGAATAAGTAAGTAAGTAGTATAATCCATGACTCTATAATGTTGAACTCATCATTAATGATACGTTGATAATCTCTAGTCACTCAAACGCACATTCAGCACGAAAGAAACATGGCCAGAATTCTTCTTCTCTTTTGTGTACTCAAATCCAATGTATTCGTTTCTCTGAACCTCAAACTGTTTGCGACAACGCTTTACAAGCAGTACAAATATGGTAGGTACTAACTCTTATCGCTCCTTCCGACGACGTTGTGAAAGGTAGTTTTGCTGTATGTTCTAATTGTCATGGCTTTTTGACACGCAGATAGTCATGCTGACAGCAATCTGCAACAAGACAATGGACAGTACTACTTGGTGCAGCAAGGACCTAGTAGGTAAGGTACACGACGTAGCCACAATAATCAAGAGGTAGCCACGTGCAAGCCTGCCACCAAAGACAAGACGACAGTTCGTAAATGCGACTAAAACCCCAAGCGAATCCGAAAAGACCACCAAGACCCTTAGCGCAAACATCAGCATAGCAGGTGGTGGTGCACTGGTGACGTTTGGGGCCCTTGGGCCGGGAGCGTTTTGCGTTGACGCATGTGGCTCATGTGGAATTCGCCGTCCCTCCGCGATCCTCCAAGAATCCAATCATCCATCCCACTCGGCCGCGTCCCTGGACCACGTCGGCGGTCCTCCGCTACGCCGCCGTTGGGCCTGCGAGTTTGTCCGTGTTAGCGAGTGCGAAGAGCGGCAGTCGTCATCTCGCACTAAGGCAGTCAGACCCCTCCCAAACTACCTACTCCCCCAAACCCGTCAATTATCCCGGCTCATCGGTGACTAAGGTTGTCCTTCCTCTTCGCTTGGCGGGCTTTAGCTTCCGTTCCGTGTGGCTTACACCAAATGGAAAAGGTATCCGTAGTATTGTTCTCAGTGATCGAGTCTGAATCTGCGGTGTGTCTGACTGTCCTATTGCAGTGCAGGTACGAGCATCCCCACGTAAAAGGACGAAAGACGCTCCGCCCATGAACCCCAGGCTAACCCATTCTCGTATGTTAGTCTACACCCTGGGGCCCTTCATCGACCGCCATCGCCGAACACGCGTGCCCATCTCGCCTGTTGTCCCGATCTAATCATCTAGCGCCTCTGCGCTTTCGCTTCTTTTTTCCACTCCAAACCCAAGTGATCCACGTAGCCGGGACTCGGGCCTGAAGCATTCAATTCCTCCTTCCCCACCAAACCACAACATTTCGACAAGGGTCCAAGTGAGTGATTCACTCCCTTCCCTTGACTTTGGGTGCGTTCAACCTGGGCTTGCCAACGGCTGCTGTATGGGGAGGAGGCAAAGGGCGCTAACAAACGACCCTTTTCAGCTTCTCTTTTCCTTGACGATATATTAAAGCAAGGGACCAGCCTCTTCTTTCCTTCCTCCAACCACTCATCCTTGTTCGAATCACACAGTTCCACGACAGCATCAACCTCTTCGTCACTATCGACCGTTACGCCTCGCCATCAAACTCACAACACATTCTCACTCGTATATTCACTCATATTCACACTCATCCTTCTATTCGACCTCACATCGCACTCATATTCACGAACCGCCTTTTGAATACGTACATCACCGCTCAAAATATCCATGCTCACAATGGACACCGCTACCGAATACCAGACCGCCGAGCGGTTCCACGGCATATTCAAGCCGACCGAGTCTCCCCAGTGGACCAAGCCGTACAACCATCTTCCTGTGAGCTCCTCCTCTCCATCACACTCGAGTGTGACGTCGCACCAAAGCAGGTATTAATGACTTTTCATTTTCAGCTCCTTGTCAAGGATGGCTTCAACCTCTCGACCCTCTTCGCCATCGGCGCCTGGATGCAGTGCCTCCTCTTCCTCATCTTGCCCGCCAAATACGCCATCATCCCGGCCTTGGCCATGGGCCTCAGCTCCATCGTCTCGACCATTCTCGATACTCGCTCCGAGAAGTCCAACCCCTTCATGAAGGGCGTCGTCCGCGGTCGCACCAGCGCCCAATTCCCTGATACCTCCACCGGCGCCATCCCAGCTGTTGCTGCCTCCCAGTCCCTTGTCGTCTTCCACCTCGGCGTCCGATTCAACCATCCCATGGGCCTCCTCTGCCCCGGTGGTCGCGAAATCGGCCAACACTTCAGAGATATGAACAAGGACCTTGCCCAGCGCGCCTCCGAGTACGGCCTCTACCACATCTCCAACTGGCTCGGCGCCGACGGCCCGCGCAACAATTCCCTGCTCAACATATACTACTTCCGCGACGTCGAGGGCCTCAACAAGTTCGCTCACGACCCCATCCACCGCAAGGGCTGGGACTGGTACAACGCCATCAAGCAGCAATACAACCACATTGGCATCTACCACGAGAGCTTCGTCACCAACGCCGGTCAGTACGAGACCATCTACGGCAACATGAAGCCTCTTCTTCTTGGTGCCGCCAGCGTTGAGTGCCAGAACGAGGAGTCCAAGGATAAGGTCTGGGTCAACACGCTCGTCGATGCCAACGTCGGTCCCCTTCGCGGCATGATGCGCCGCATGGGCAAGAGAGATGCCCCTCTCGCACACTATGCCTAGTCTTTAGGTCTTGTGTCTTCTTCTTTGTCTTCCCCCCCAAGGCGAGTATTGGAACTGGTGTTCCGACGCTTGTTTGTCTGACTCAAGGGTAGCATTGGGTGGTGTTTGGCGTTTGGCTAGGACCTAGGTTACATTCGTCGATTATTGAAGTAAAGGCTGGTGATCCTCATCATCGGAGTGGTTTTGTAAGAGACCGGCGTGTCTCTTTTTGACCATTCATGGTCACATTTCTTTCCTGTACATACTTTCAACACGCCACGCGGCATAGTCCCCGAATCAGAATAAGTTCAAAGTACTCAGTCCATCGCTAGACGCACTTTCGTGCCTCGCAAGTAGTGGTCCATCTTCCCCTCTCAAACAAGCGTTGATGAGTGTTCCTTCTGCGACTAACTTGAAGTAGCCTACGCGACAGAACGCTAGACTTCCTTTCTCGGGAGCATCTTGCAATATCAAACCTTCGATGCACGGCTCTGGGTCTGTTCCATCAGGCTTGTAGGCGGTGTGAGTTCCTATCGGAAGCAAGATGCTCCCTGCTGACAGCCGATAGTTGGCTTTGCCAATCCCACCCCAACTCCACTCGTCTGGACAGACGACGAAGGTGCGAATTCTAGAATCGAGACATCTCAGACCGATGCCCTTGACGTGGCCATCGTTCGAGAGAGCCTCTCCTTCCCACGATACGGTGCTCTCCAGGAGATAACCTTCGAGCTGTAGACGAGCACTCTTGAGCTGCCCGGTCGTGACCCTGTCATAGCCTTCAACGCAGTACTTGACGTTCCTCACAAGAGCCTCCCCATCAAAGGCTTTACGTCCCGCATATCTTCCAGTCAAGGTCGCCTTCTTCACCGACCCGCCATCGATCGAGGCCCAGCTCCACGTAGGGGCCCGCCACGTTATTTGCCGCGAGTACCTCGCTTTCTCACCCGGTGCTGAACAAGCCCACAACAGGTCCTCGACCAGCCGGCTTTCCCACAGTCCTGCGACATAGCAATCGTCCACCGCCTCCTCCATGGCCTTCGCCAAGGCCTGTACAGCAATGAGCTTGTCCTCGCCTTTCGTTAAGTACTGCGCCGTATACGTCGTCACGACTTCCTCCCAAGGAAGGTAGGCCTCTTCGAGCATGAACGGATCCTTTTCTTCCTTTGCCATACTCTTCAGACGCCAGAGTACTTGAGAAAACGCGCGTGGATCACGGTTGGTGTAGGCCTTACCAAAGGATCCTATGCGATCATTGGAGTACGCAAATTGTCCTATCCGGTAGTCCATGCCGCACTGCCAAAATAGCTGGTGTCTGGAAAAATGAAGAACCCGTGGGGAGAAGAGTCGCTCCTGCAGCACCCAGCCGCGTGTATTCAATGGTGCTTCCTCAACACCGCGTTGCCAGATTTTGCTATTGAGAAGGATGTAGTCCCCAGGTTCTACCACATGCGGTCTTTCTTCGCTGGTCTGTTCCTCTGACGGGTCGCCGTCGATGGGTTGCAAGAAGGATATCCGAAGATGCCTTGAATGTACTGGATCGTGGCCAAAGTAGAGGCCTTCATCTCCGCCGGAGGCAGCTGTAGCGGCAATGTTTATGACGCCGTTGCGATAGACTTCGGCCATGGTGATGGACTCTTTCCGCCAGTCGTCGACCGAGTCTTGGATTATACCTAGATGCTACGTCAGTCATCTAGGTTCAACCATCGACCAGACTCACAAAGCACTACTTACACAGCGAGTCTATCCATAGATAGCGCAGTCCGAGTCTCCTGAGGATGGAAATTGTATCTCGGAAAGTCTTGGGAAGCTTTTCTACATGTATGCCGGCTCGGAAAGATTCCATGTTGGCCCGTTGCAATGTGAGAATCTGGGATTTGCCCCAGCAATGACTGAGAGTGGCGTACTTCTCATGGGCGGGAATAGATGTTGACAGTCGCACCTCGTCATTGTCGGAACTCTCAAGATCGAGAAGTCTCGTTGGAACGAAGTCGCCCGTATTCTTCCCGCAATAATCTGCATGTTTCGAAATGCAATCATCAAGCCATATGCTTGTTGTGGTCAGGGCTCTATCTTCTGGGGCTGTCTCAACCAGACACAGGGACTCTGCGTGCTCATCGCCTACTTCATGTTATCGACCTACTCGGCACTGCGGCGTCTAAGATGGAGTCTCACCTTGGTCTTTCAACATGTAAAAACTAGCACCGGTTCGACAGACTCTAATGAGGGCACGGAGGGTCAGTGGCTTTCATGTTCACGTGTAGTTCAAGAGTGCATGTAGGCTTCCTACATGGATGGCGAGAAATCAAGGTAGCCGCTAGGCATCGTCTTCGGCGCGTGAGCCTGCACATACAACCGCGCCGTATCGGCTTGACTATCAGGAATCAGACGCTCTGCCACAAGCTCCTCATGTATCGAGATACACAAATGGCAGCCCGCAGCGACGGCATCTTCGAACGAGGCCCACGTCGCGTGGTGGATGAGAACGCGGCTTGATGATGGCCCGGCAGCCTGTTCGGGATGTCGCTCGGCTTCTTTACTCCGTGCATTTGCAAGGTCGTTGCAGCTTTTGCACAGCATTGCGAGGGCGCATGTATTGCGAATGTGACTTGTTATGGATGGAGGGGTCGATGCTTGAGAAGGAATGGCGGGGCACTTCGAGCAGGGCATATTCAACTAGAGCGTATTTGGCTAGATCCGGTGTGATCTCTCGCCGAGATGGTGATGGAGACGCGTTGTTGGCGAAGGTTGGTCTACGACTTCGCGTGACACAATGGAATCAAGGCCATGATCACTTGGTTTTGACAACACACCCGACCGCCTAGATGTCATCGCAATTTTGACTAGTACTCATCGTTTATTATGTATCAGCTGGCGAACAACTCTTGCAGGCTATGGCCAACTCCTTTGTGTGATGGCAGAAAGAGGTACCAAGCTTCCTGCAGTTATAACCAGAAGAAGACCCCTGCCCCCTCCGAGAACCCTTAACCAACTTCTTGCTTGGATATCAAGAACAATGATCAAATGTTGTGCTGCGGGCAATGCCTCCCAAGCAGAGTGTTCCGACAAACACACCAAGAAGTATAGACAAGAAATACCCCAGGTTCATAGACATCACCGCCAGCATCCTGTACACATCAGCACTGCTCAGACTGTCCCTTGCATTTGCGAAAAATTCGGTGGCACTCACAAGAGATATCCCAGAAGGGCGGTGACAACCTCATAGGCAGCAAGCGCGACTCTCAAAAGGATTGACTTTGATGTAGAAGGAGATGGCTTTTCTCTATGGCCGACTTCCTCGTCGATTCTGGAGTTGCCCTTCCCAGACCCGCGGCCCCAGACCGCCGCTTCCAACATGTTTTTAAAGGCGATCATAGTGCGCAAAATTATGGTGAAAATGATGAGGGCGAGACAAGTGCCGGCGTACTGTCCTGGTGTCCGAGGTGTCCACGCTTCAGAGAATAACGCTGTTGCCATCTTGGTGTGGAAGACAACCGGCATGGGCTCGGCGCCATGAGAATGGAGTGTGGTGGTGGGCATGTCCATCGTAAGGTCTGAATCGAGTCGGTGTTCGAAGGTGGGTGAGTTGTTCCTGCTTTCAATCCAAGAAGGGCGTTGTTTCTAGAGTTATACTTGTTCAAGTGGGAAGGTTGCAACCTCGTCTGAATCTGGATTGGAAGTAATAATGCAAGTCAAGCTCAGCATCTTGTCATCTCCGATGCGATCATGAGAGGGAAACTTTGCAGGCTACTCCCGACAGGGTCGTAACAGAACGGAATAGCTGCCTAAATCTGCGCATGGAGATAAGGTCACAGATACTAACTTGCGCACACTGCAAATCAAAGACAAGGAGAGGAGCAGTCATGGTGCTGAACTATGCTTGGGGGCGGGGTGGGGTGAGGCTGTTTGAGAAGGTTTCCAAGAGGAATCGCTTGGCTCCCGTCTTTAGTCCTACCAGGTTGGTGCACCATTGAGTACCCTGAGAATCACTGTGACCGCTAGCGAGCAGGTTTTGTACGATTAAGTATTCATCTCATTCATTTAAAAAGTTATAACTTAGACACTTGTGGTCCCTTTGGTTGGTGTCTCGGGTGTCCTGCTTCAACCATTTCTTCCAATATAACAAGTAGCATCTAGCGATTCAAGCAAGCTTACTCAAGAGTCAAGAGCAAAGCAGCGCTCGGAACTCGATGCCTCGTTGCCCCACCAGTTCGGCATGGTGACGATCTTTCCAGCACCGAAGAAGAGGAAAGTAAGAAGCATGTTGAAGTTGAAACCCGCGTCGAAAGCAGCAGCCAAGATGTAGTTCCATCTCGCCCACAGGTCGTACCGGTAGCGGTAGGCCCAGAACATGACCACAAAACCACCGATCAAGCTGCTCACGTATCCGGTACTGATGTTTCCGTAGAAGCTTGCCATGGCAGAGAAGAAGATGGTCGAGTTCCACAACTGGAACTTGGCACGGGGAAAGGCGCGGTGGAGGCCGTAGATAAGGAGCGGGGTGAAGGCGCCGACAAGGAAGCCGTACGGGAGGACCTTATAGATGTGCTGCTGGAAGAGTCTGCGGGGACCGATGAGGACGTACTGCACGCCCATTGTGAGGTTGGAGGTGAGAGACTGAGCAGTCCACTGATGCGCTGGGTCTTCCTTGGCACCCGTGAGGTAGTCGAACTTGGTGTCCAAGACCCAGCGAACAACAGCATAGTTGATGGGCACGCCGAGGAATGATCCAAAAACCTGAGAAAAGAACACTGCCTTGGGACTCAGATGCATGTAGTGTCCGACCTTCATGTCCTGGAGGTTGAGTTGCGCGCGGTACCATGCATTTCCCGCGATGGCACCGTATGCAGACGCACCAGTCGGGTTCTTGAATCCGCTGACGGAGTTCACCATCAATCCATAAAGCAGCTCGTTGACGGTACCAATGGCCAACTGGAAGTTGCTAAGCGCGTACAGCCAGCCAAGCGGCACGACGAGGATTGCGCCAGTTCCAATGGCGACGAAGTATGTCCACACGGGGATGAACATGTTTCCGGTGGCAGTGATGGTGATGAGAGCGATGGCCGAAGCAGCAAATAGCGCGGCAAACCATGACAAAGGCACTTCCTGGTAGCTTCGCTGCAGGATGCTGAGCTGGTCGTTGTACTGCGTGCTGATTTGCGAACCGTTTCTCATGCGATCCATCATCTTCGAGAGACTGCTCTTGATGGTCTTGTAGCCGAAGAGAGCAGCCCATGCAATAGCTGACGTATAAGCAGCATAGTCACTAGAAGAGATAGAGGTCAGAACATGAGAGAAGCGCCAGAGGATTTGGGGGTTCCTTACAAGAACATGGTCCACAGGACCTGGGTGCTAACAAACGGGGGGCCGTACTCGGCGTAAGCCGTCTCATTGAACGACACATCCGCAGTGAGCAACTTCGTGATTGGGTATGACGTGCCGTTCTCGAGGAAGAGTCTGTTTGACATCAAATGCCCATGCCACTCACCGAGGTGACCGTACTTGGCCGCCGGGATCAAGATCCAACAACTGCAGGCGAAGCCACAGAACATGACGACCTGAGTCCACCACGGAGTCAAGAAAAGAGATCCGTTGGTCGAGATGTTGGACCAGTCCAGCGACAGGTTCAAGAAGCCCATTCCTCCAAATCCAGAGCCCACAAAGTTGGCGACTGCGTTGTTGGGTGCCACCCAGCAGAGGAAGGCCAGAGATCCGAGCATAGGGAAGATGTACTCAGGGAGGAACTGCCACAAGGTCATGCCGAGAAGGGCCCAGAAGAAGACTCTCGTCTGCTTGCGGGATGAAGCCGTCGGGGCTTCGCGCTGCTTCTTCTGCGTCTCGAACAGAGCGGTCTGGCAAAGCGCCGTGAACCACGGGAACTGAGGGTCGTAGATCAGGAACTGTCTGGCCAGCGCGGCAAACGAATAGCCAGTCCACACAATACCCCACATGAAAAAAATCGCCGCTGCCGGGTGAATCTTGGAGTTGAAATAGAGCTCAGCCATCGCAACGGGAGTGTATCCCAAGTTGTAAGTTGCGCCCGATGCCGCGGAAATGGTAATCAGGACATGCTCTTTGACGTTGAACGGCCCCGGGTTGAGGTTGAAGCTGAACTTGGTGAATGGCACCTTGACCTCCCACGCCGGCAAGATCTTGGCAAGCCATTGGCCGCAGTAACTCGACGCGATCTGGACGAAGAAAATGGAGTACGGCGCGTACGTCGTGCGGAAATGGCTCATCATCGACAAAAATGCGCCGGGAATAACGAAAATGATGGTGAGGAGAAAGTATCGAAACGTGAGGCAGGGCAAATCCGGATCATCGTGCAGCGAAACGATGCGGCGCACGTAGGCCGGGATGTCCTTCAATCTCGGGTCATCCTCGTCAAATGCTTCTTCTTCGCCGTTGGCTTTCGTCGTGAACACAAAAGGCGGCTTTTCCATGTCGCCCTCGGTATAGGGAGCAGCGGGCTCGCTGGACCTCTTCTCGGGCGTGCCGTTGCTGGGAGAGTTGACGGAAATGGCGTCGCCATCGTGAAGACCGCCAGTCTTTGGCTCACCGGCGGCCTGTTGCTGTTGGTTGGGGGATGGAGACATGGTGTGGAGGTCGTTCAGGGCGGCTGATCGCCAAGATGCTTGGAAGAGAACGCCACACGGGAGCCAAGTCGGCCAAGCCTTAGGGATCAGGGACCTTCTTTTTCCGAACGCGACCCTTCCGGCAGCTGGGCGTTCCAACTTATATCAAGAACCGTCCATGGCTCAACTAGTTGCCCACGCGCCGTTTACTGACTCTAGACAACTCCCGAATGTGGGAGGTCACTCGACCGTTACAGTTAGTTGGCGGAGCCATTGCGATGGTGTCATCGGCGTTTTTCATCTTTATATTGCCTGCGTCGCGCGATGGCACGAGCCTAAGCGGATATGCGGCTTCTGAAGGTGGCTTTAGGTTCAAGAATGTAACCCAACGGGGCTTCTCGAATTGCCCCGCAGGATCGCCGGCGCACTACATCGTATTGCGGCCAAAGTGCCATCCTCTGCGAGTTGGGTCAATCATATCATAGAGGCGACTCGGGCGAGGGCGTGTTCACAGATTGTGCCATAGTAAGCAGCAGAAGTTCCTCAGCTCCTCGTGGCAAACAAACAAAATCACGTTGCAGAAAAGTCTCTTCACCAATCCCGTACATAACAGCAATTGCGCCATCGCCAAAAGTCCCTCGAGTCAGGATCAACCTCGATCTTCACAACCACTAGGCAGATTAACCGAGATGGATCCTGTGGAACACGGCCTCTAAGCGGTGGGATGGGTGGACAAGGAGTACGTAAAGCTTAAAAACTCCTTCAATGGGCAAAACGTTGCTCGGATCCGACTTGTTACATTGTGCTACTTGCTACTGTTGGATTTGAAATGCAAAATGTCAGAGGCGGATGAACAATCACCGACTTCCACTCTCTTCACCATGACTCGTTCCGCCACAAAGCATTCTCTATCTGTAATCATGTCCCCCAAACACTCAATTCCATGGCTGAAGCTTTCCTCCGTTCTGTAGAGTGTAGGTCCGGCCCTGAAGCCAGGAGCTCTCCGGGGCTTTCTGATCATACGCAACTGTGAAGCCCTGGTCTTTGACGCGTCCAAGGTCTCCGCCAACGACTGACAGACCTCGGACGAACGAGTTCTTTGCAACAGTCCAAATGCTCGTCTCGTCAATCTGCACCGTCAAACCCCCACGATTGTTGATGAGAGATGCATTTGCGGATCCCTGCCACGTGCTATTTGCCAAAAGCTGGACTGTGACGGTACAGCCACCCCGGGTGACAATATCTCCGGAAATGCCATCCGAGCCCATCAGCGTCAGAGAGGAGTTGGAAGAGATTGGGCTCCCGCTCCAAAGCTGTGGCTCGACCCTCTCGAGGTCCCGGGATGCCGTGTTCGTATCCGCCAGAAGCAGAATTCCTGAAGGATTGTATATCCTTGCATTCCTAAGGATGATCTCGGCGGAAAACGTTGCGAGGTAAAAGGCTGGGCCCTCGCGAACCGTAAGATTGAGGGATGTCGCCTCCAACGTGCCGGTACCACGCTGTGCCGTGATAGACCAATCGAAGAACAAGAACCCGCCGATGGTTCCCGAAATGATGGTAGAATCGTTCAGATGTACATACTGAGGCCCCTCCATGATTATGGCGGGGGATGCATCGGCCCAGCCGGTCAGATTGGATGACATGGTCCGCCCTAGAGAGTAGATCAATGGCGACCCCGGGTTGGTAGTGTGGGCGATGCCCCCACGACTATTGATATTGAGACCCGCGAGGGTAGGTGATCGGTAGCCACCCGAACAATGGCGGAGATTGGTAACATCGAGACTGGCACCCCGGATAGCAAGAAGACCAATGGCTCCTGGGCCGCTGCCATACAATCGAGGTGCGTCCAGGGTGACCGTAGTCCCAGCTCCAGTGGCGTACACGTTGGTGGCGCCATTGTGGGTTTCGATCCGTCCGGAGAACCGTAGTGTTGATCTTTCGCCCTGTGTTGAAGTCAGTCAACTTGCATCATCACGCAGGATTCAAGGACGCTGTCAGTCTTACGACGAGAATGGCACTGTTATATCCCGTTCCGAGGGACCGGGGCAAGTCCTCAGGCGCTCCGGTCTTCAGCACGTCAGCCTGCAGCAAGTCTACTATAACTCCCGTCATGTAGAGCACGCTTGTTTGCTGCAGACTAGTCACATATGACTTACCAGTCTCTGAAGTTTGGGGCTGGTCGAGGATTCTCTGAGCGACGACTGTGCCCAAGGTTCATTAGTAAATTACGTTGCGGCCTCTTGTGATCACTTGTGGCCTCCCATACCGCGAAAGACGGCATCGATATTTACTTACTAGGTCTTTCCTCGGTCGTTGCCGGGACGTAGTTTGGCCGGACCATGTTGTCGTCAACCCAATTTGAGGCAAGGACCCCAGGATCAAGACACGGATCTTGATCCTCAGGAATCGGATTTTGTGACCTGCATGTTAAAGCCAGTATGCCGATGGCCAGGGCGAGAGCAGCTTGGACACCCATGATGTATTATGCGTCATGTGCTTCAAGCTACATCAAGATAACGAGTCCTTACTGAGAATCACTTCTGTATTGCAAGACTGAGAAGCTTTCCCGAGAGAGTTCAGATGACGGCGAATGCGCCTGGAGGCTGGGAAACCTGTCAAGTTTTAATCTGAGACCGCATTAGTTTAGTACAACGAGAGATGAGCATCGAGCTATCAGCTGAGCAGATGCAGGGAGGTATCCAACTTGTAGTACCCTCCACAGGGAATCGCACTACCGGCAATAAGACACATTGTACATCGTCTTGTAAGTTGAGTACGCCTAGTACCGATCAGACTTTCGCTCAGCAGCTACTCCGATTCTCATTTACTGCGACAGGTCCGCTTAGCAAGATCAATTCAGACCTATGTACACGTAGACAAAGGAGAGAGGCTACACTGCAAGGAAATCACGTTTATTACCTTTCATCATCCTCTGGCCACAACCTTGGTTTGCCTCTAACCATTTCATTATCTCAAAAGACTCCAGAACAGAACGAGCCATGTTCATACATCGAATCTACTGTCTACACCAGGTTTCAAGCAATTGACGAAGATTGGAGTTGATTAGACACGTCAATATCTAACTCTAACCGAGGGATCCAAGACATCCGGCAAGTCACCTTCATCTGAGTTACCTGTCATCTGTAACTGTCTCACACGTGCGACTCGTCTAGAGTGTCACTCCAGAACCTCGCCGCTGGCACCCTCACTCCCATCACGAGGACCCATGTACATGATGTCGTGAAAGATTTGCATCCAACTTCCTTCTTCTCTTCTCCACCAGTACTGCACCTTGACTAAAAGGTCCTCTTTCTTATCTGCTTCATGATCTGGCGATTCGTCCCAAAGGTCGACCCTCATTCCCACCCACCCCTCTCTCCTGGCCTTCTGCTCGACCTCTACCGCCGAAGAAAAGCCAGCAGGAGCTGTCTGCTGATCGGTACCAAACTCCAATTCGGAATCTTTAAGTGGTCGTATCGTGTAAAACCCCTTCTTTGCCGGCTTACGACTTGGCTCCGATGCCTCGGCCTGGTCTTTTGGTGCGTACTCGTGCAAGTAGCGCACAATTGTGTCCCGGTCTTGTGCGGCGAATGGGGGATTTGGGCGACATATCTGATAGCATGAGGGAGAAAAGAATGCACCTTTCGCGTCGATATCAGTGGTATGTCTGTAAGAAGCGTAAATTGTCTTCAGGTGAGTGGTGAGATCCACGGCGTCCGTTTGTGAAGCCATCAGAACAAAGGATGAAGTGTCGTCGATGTCTGGACGGGGTTTTATTGAACGATGTGTTTTGACGATGGAAGGACACTCCCTCTGTTTTCATTCGACATCAGTGTGACTTCTCAAGCAATATAGGTCAGCATTTAGCGCCCTGTAAGATGAGTCAACTTGCAGCACATCGCATGTGTCCTTTTGAGCCTTTCTGGCGGTTCTCATTGGGTGAGAGATGACCGCCAAAATGGGAACGCCTCAAAAGGATTTTCATTCCATAGACTTTCTTTAGTCTCAAACGAAAGGCGCCACAAGCGGTTGAGTGGGAGTTCCAAGGTCTTTCTAATCCCACCCGATAGCCTCACAATCTTGAGTTGGGTTTCTTGTTATGCGCTAAATCACTAATCCGAGACCCTGCAAGTTACCGTAACGCAGCTAGACATGAACTTTTCAACGAGATGAGAAAGCATTTGTTCAAGGGTATCTTGCAAGCCTTGAGTAAATCAAAGACAAGGAGTGGCGACACACCCCCTTCGGTGAACTTGGTAATCTCTTCCAAGTCATTACTATCACACAGGATTGTGAGCACACCAATAGCCGCAGACATTGTTTGACGTGTTGTACAGAGCAGTTCACCGTAACACGGCATCGGTACTACGCTGCACCAGACTCTGGACAATGGTAGATGATTGGCTAGAATGTATGATAAACGTCCGGTTCTCGAGATAGCTCCATACCCAAAGGACTCGTTCAGTGTGGCTTCTCGCATCAGTGTGGACCGGGCATGCTCCTACTAATGGCCAAGTATTGACAAGATTCAGGAAATCAGTCACGCAATCAATCTTCTCAAGACAAGAACATCTCCAATATACGTACAGAAATGAATTTGCAGCAGCAGTTCCGGCCTACTCAAGATATAGACACGGAAGCAAGGATGAAGAATACCGGTACTGCCGGCGTCGTAGGTCCGGAGCCGGCGCCGAGTAGGGCCCGAGCGCCGGGCGGATTGCTCTGCACCCCTTGCTGGTTCAAGTCTGGACCACAGACGGACATGGACATTTGTGTACACATCCCTGCTCGGTCTCCTCGGAGGCCGACACAGAACTCCCACCGGCGGTATGTTACTCAGTCCAGGCAATGGTGACCGAGGAGCCCGAGACGAGGTTTCTCGACGCTCGTTCCGACAACTCGATAGAGGTTGACTGCATCCGAGCCCGAATAGCTGATATGGACTCAAGGGCAACTGCGGTAAGCAGACATGGTGGCCCTGCTTGAGTCCAATTCTGACCGAAAGGTGCATGTGGCTAGTGCGACTTATGTCGGTTGCGCAAAGTGAGTAGAAGCGCTGCACTGTCAGCACAATGAGACGCAGAATCATTCTAGGGCACAATTATCTGCATCAGTGTCTCTACGTCTGTGGTCAATAGGTCATTAACAAGCATTCTGATAGGTTCGATGTGACAAAAGCGTACCTTGCTTCAACTGTCGCCAGTCTTCGCAGGATTGCACGTTCACAGGCGCTGGCCAGAAACCCAAGGTTCCTCGACAAAGGGTCCATGTGTCCCTACAATAGTATGTTTCCTAACCAAGCCCATTCTTCCCTTCGCGGTACGTTCCAGACTAACAGGCTCGCAGCGAGGAGAAGATAGACCTTCTGGACAAACGCTTGGCCAATATTGAGTCCTTGCTGCTCAGACAACAGAGCACGGCGTCAACACAATGTTCATGTACAGGGTTAACACCTAAAAAGGCTTTGTCGGAAGTGCCAGCCTTGGCGAAGGATGCATCTCACGTTGCCACAGGATTCGATGTAACAAATGAAGCTCCCCCGGTTGAAGGCCCCTCTTCACTGAGATTCCAGATGGCAGCAACAAGAAAACTCACGGAAAGTGCGGCCATTGAGCTGGGTGCCTCATGCTACGTGAATGCCGTAGCTAGTGCGCATCGTGTTGTAAGATCTCAGAACCCAGCAGGAGCATCCGAACGGCAATCAGCGCAAAGGCCTGTGACTTACCGGAACATGTCTCTGCCGCCAACATCTGCTGTCATCAACGTACTCAGACAGCTGAAAGGTGCGTGTTTGATCCTTTAACGAGGGTTCGATTTATGTGTCCACGGTCTGTTGTTGACACTTAATAGACAATCCTCCCAGTAGTTTCTTTGTCTTGAGGTGTTTCCTACCGTGTGCAGAGTTTATCGACCTCTGCCGAAACGTTTACTTCTCCGTCGATGACTATACTGCCATCGAATTCATCATCGTAAATTCGGGTCTACACTATCTCTTCACTGAGTACTTTTGTCCTCCTAGCCTCGGGAATATTGAGCTTCGGAAACAGTCTCTCGCCTGGGGGGCAATGTGTAGAAAGGCTCTTACGGCCGCTGTGGCATCGATTGATGCCGGGTTGTCTGCGAAGGCGGAAAACGTACAAGCATTGATCCTCGGGGTATGTCAAGCCCGCATCTCTTCATCATATTTTCCTCTAATGACGCAGACAACACACGCTATTGAGATGGCCAGGCCCTGGTTGGCATGGAGGCTGATATGCTTCGCAGCACAGCTTTGCATGGCTGCAGGCTTCCATGACGAGAGTCTGATTGCAGCTGATGACAACAATACGAGGACCACTAAAGCTTTGTTGTTCTGGCATGTTTATGGACTAGAGAAGACTCTTGCGTTACGCGTTGGCAGAGCCTCTATGATTGGAGACTGTGACGTTGTTATACCTAGAGGGTTGAATTCGGTGTGTCTGCCGAGGCTATGGGATAAACTCGTACCGTTCTGGGTCGCGAATGCCTCAATACATGGCAAACTATACGACCTGCTGTATAGTCGCAGCGCCCAGCTCATCTCCCAGAAAGACCTGTCTGATCGAGCCAATGGGTTGCTTGCAGACCTCAAGATGATAGAGCCCATCAGACTGGTGAGTAAATCTTGAGAGATTGAAGTTTATGATGGTGTTAACCTGCATACAGGTAAATCCAACGATCACCTCTGCTTCTAATCACACCGAACCAATGACAAAACTGGAGGATATTCTCGCGATATCCGCCGGAGTTATGTATCATACAACAGCGACTCTCATATGCAGAGCAAAGACTTCGCGAGCTTCTGTGCCGTCTTTTTCACCGGACTGCCTGTCATATGCACGCGCGACAATTGACGCTCATCTTGAATGCGTCCCCTTGATGAGTGGCGACTTGCATATCATGAATCTTTATCTCCATTGGTAAGAGGACATTATCCTCACACTTTTTTGCGGAACTAACGTGTGCTTGCATGTTATTAGGCGAATTTTGCAGACCCCTTTCATTCCTCTCCTGGTGGTATTCTGCCACATAGTCGAGACTCAGGACACGGGTGATGCGCAGCGACTCAAGAATTTTGCAGATAGCCTCAAGCAGGGGGAAGATCTGTCCCCTTCTGCTAAAGAGTTTTATGACATCACTCGAGAGCTCTATATGATTGCAGAGAAGCATATTGAGACGAGTAACAAACAAGATTGGGCGTCTGTCCCCTCTCTTTCAACGTTTGGACTTAGCCAATTTTACCCGGCTGGTGCTTTGGCGGAGAATTATCACTTGACATCTGAGAATATGCAGTCTGACCAGGACATGGAGATGATGTTTGATGGAGAGCAAGTCTTGCGCTTTTTCTAGTTCATTTTGCCTATACTGTTCTAACTCGAGACGTGTGGCTGGACGTGAGATCAGCGAAAGAGACATAGATTCTAGCGCCTGTATACTCCGAGAATCTTGCTACCAGGGTGGCTGAATTTCTCTAATCTACACAGTATAATGAAATAGGAACACATCCAAAATCAAGTAAGCAGGTAAAATATGAGAGCCAGAGAGATGTTCTATTGCTAAAACCCCGGTCTCCGGGGAGGGGGAGACAATATCAAAGTCCTTGGCTTCTCCAGGCTCATGTGCGCTTGTGTGACACATGAAATAAGCTTCTTCAAGAAGACAAAATAATAAGCGAGCTTTTGAGTCAAGATGACTCATTATCGGGATCGCGTATAAGCGTACGATCTATCTCCGCCGGGAGGGGCGGGCGAAATTGGTTCTCGGGGACCGAGAGCCCCGAAACCTACGAGAACCCGTGTCCGTGACAGCTGCACATCCCACCGCTAAACTCGGGGCAGACAATGTGAACGGTAACTGCCGCATTGTATTTCTCAGCTAGTTGGTAATTGCTTGTACAAGCCTTCGCGATTCCGAAATCTTGTCTTTAATCTCCGGCGTATGACGCTATCAGCAGTGGTAATGCGATGTAAACCGTGACGGACACCCTGTTGTTGTCCGAACAGCGACGTGAGTCTATATTCTTGGCGTAGGCAAGGCCTGTGATATGTACACCGTCATTGATCCACAGTCATCTTATATAGAGTGAAAAGTTCAGACGTTGAGTAAAAAGACGACCAAGTAATGCGATCTCCTTCAGACTTGAACACTTCTTACCTTGCTTGAGAGAGATTTTAGATTCCCAACGTCATACCTTCTGAATAACATGTCTGTAGCAGTCTCTGGCGGGATTGGCGGCCCTGGCCGTGCTATCGTTGAAGCTATCTCCGCACAAGGGACCCATGAGGTTATCGTACTGACGAGAAAGGTATCCATCCGGCGACGCTCTGTTTCACACCGAAACAACACAGTCTATTGACACTGATGTAAATAGGTTTCAGGAAGACCCGGTGGTGCAGCACCAAATGTTCGTTTTGTTGCTGTGGACTACTCCGACATCGATTCTCTCGCCTCCGTCCTTGAGAGGTACAATGTCGACACGGTCATCTCTGCCGTCAACAACATCGCCGGGGAAAATCACTCAGAGTTGAATCTCAAAGCAGCTGCCGAGAGATCAAAAACAACGCGGAGGTTTATACCAGGCTACTTCGGTGTTTCGAACCTACCCGAGTTTGGCTTCTCGACTTTCCCACCTTACCTTGCATCTTCACCAATCTAGGGGGCTGTACACGCTCACATGCAGATGTCTTTCGGATTCAGGCAATATGAATCATTCACCCTCCCTACTTCATACAGAAACCGGCTATGGACCGGTTGAAGTCGACATGGTTGAAGTGAATCAACCTCTAAAAAGGATACTTCCTCGACGACGGGTGTTGATGCCATTTACCTTATCGCCGCCATTCCCCAAGGTCCGACCGACGTCCGGAGAGCTACATCATTGGCGACAAGGCCACGTTCAGCGACCTTGTCCATCTCATAGAGAACGTCAAAGGTGAATTGCCTTTCATTTCTGGGTCTTATGTTGCGAAGCTAATCGTCTGAAGGCACCATGTCTACCGTCGTTTATCACCAGATTGAAGACTCTGAGACCAAACAGATGGCGGGACTGCCACCTTGCAAGGTGGTGTTTAGATCGTATATAAGGAGATGGTTCCAACTTCTTTGATCCCTCCAGCCTTGACTGCGCGCGAGGCCAGGCCGAACCCAAGCCGAGTCGTATGCTCAATGACTATTTCGTAGAGACCAAGGCGGCAAATTGCGACAAAGACTCTGAAGTATGGCTTGGGACAACAGTGATGAAGGCAACAGCTCCCGGCGTGGCTTTCGAACAGCCGCAATGCAGTGGAAAAAGTGGGAAATATGGTGATATGTGGGATATTTACCTGGTTGGGATTGAACAAAGGCCTTGTGAGCCACAGTCTTGGTTGTCTGGCGGAGCTCCGGGTGTGCATGAGGGGAACTCCGTTCTTATTATTACATGTAATCTTAGGTCGCTCGCATCGACGAGGTCCTTCATTGACATAATTCCCCTCCTATTCGCTTTCTGCCCGTCAATGAAAGCATGAACATGCTTAGTAAATGGGAATGGAAACTCAATGACTTGGGTTTCTTGCGCAACAAGGCTCTCCATTACAGCATTACTTGAAAATTCTATGTCTTCTCTTTCATTATTGCTCTTACGACCGTGACCTCTATTTATCCTGCCTTCGCGGACTTCGCGTCTGCTGTAATGCCAGCTGTACCAGGAGAAAAAGGCACGGCTGAAGGTACCGGGATTGTGCACCGCACCGAGACGGAGACGGAGCCGGCGATAAGAGCGGAGACCGGGGTCGCGGACCCATCAGCCGGTAAACTTTCCTCCTCCCTCCGAAATGCAACAGGTAAGCACTAAGTTTTCGCTTCGCAGCCAGCTTAATTTCCATCAAACAACCTTCTTCAGGTTGAACCCTACCTGCACCGTTCTCGCCGCGATGAAAACACCGACCGCCGCCAACATCGAGAAGCCACAGAACAGCTGAAGCCCAAGATACGTGCTGCCTCCTTGCGACGCAACAATGGCGCCAGCAATAGGGCTACCAGCCAACGCGCCAAAGGACTGAACTGCGAAGGCGGTGCCCGTGCGAACGCCGATTTGTCGAATGTCGGAGATCTGGGCAATGCAGGCTGGGCCAAGTGAGATGAAGCCGCCAGAGGAGAAGCCGAAGATGACGAGGAAGACAATGATGGCAGCGTTGCTCTTGCCCGGGATCCAGAGGCCGAGACAGAAGATTGCGCTGATGAAGGTAATACAGATCATTACATTGTAGCGACCCACTTTGTCGGCGACGATGCCGGGGATGATGCGTCCGAGGATGCTGCGCCTTGTTAGCTACCATCGTACAGACTTGAGGTAAAGAGGGTCTTACCTGACGGCGTTCATGATGGGCAAAAGGTAAATGACGAGGTTCTCGTCCATGCCTTGCGCACGCGCCTGGAGGATGACAAAATTGAAAGGCAAAAACATGCCGAGAAAGAAAAGGAACAACGCGCACACGGTGATAGCCATGGGCGGCTCACGCAGGCCATCGACGTACTCCTTGAAGACGAAAGGTCGCGGGCGAGGCGGCAACCGTGACTTCACTGTGAGGCACGAAATACCGAGCAAGAACAGGAACAGGAACGCCACAGCGCGGATAGCCCATGGGAAGCCGACCGAGGGAATCATCTTGGACATCATGATGGGCAGGATGACGCCCCCAAGCGATGAACCGGAAACCATGATGCCGAACGCGGCTGCGCGTCTCTTGAAGAACCATGAGGTCACGGATGACATGCAAGCGTTGAAGCACGCGCTCGAGCCGATGGACGAGACGAGACTCTGGGCTAGGATGAATTGGTAGTACTGCGTCGACAGCGAGGTCATCATGAGACCAAAGACGTATACGATTGTGCCGCAGTAGAGGAGGTACTTGGGCCCGAACGTGTCATACGCACGGCCAAACTGGAACGAGGTGTTAGCTACCGTGACAGAGCGGCGAAGAGGTATTATCCCTTGGGAAAGGAACTCACGATAACGCCCATAAAGGTCATCGCCCAGACTTGCAGACTGGTGATCCACGCGACAGTCGACGAAGGGTACGCGCTGAGGGGACCTGACACATAATACGCTTGGAACACACCGACGCAGTTAATCAACCCAAACGTGCAGAACAACGCGCACCACCCTCCAAAGACGACAAGCCAAGCCTGGGCGCCGCCATCGGGGAAGTCAGCGGGGCTCATCCCGGGCGGGGGGCCGCCAGCGGGCGGTGCCGCCGCATCGCCACCGGCCGGGGCATCGATCTTGGCACCGCCTGTTGTCGCGTGCGCCAAGCCGCCCTTTTCAAGATCGGCCTCGACGACGTTGGCGGGTTCTGGGTAGATGTTGGCCTCGGTGTCGCGCTGCTGGGAGGGGATGCGGTCTAGGGATTGGCGGGCGGAGGAAGACGACTCGTAGGGGACCGGGTCCGACTTTTCTGGGTCTGCGGGCGCAGTGGACCTGTCCATGACGGTTGACGAGTTTGACGACGTCGAGAGGGCGTGATGTGAGCGTGGCATGGTTGTGAGATTAGGGTGTTGTTGTGACTGTTTTCCTCAGCGAACTTTGTGGTACAGATGGGAGTTCGCTTCGTGTAGGTGTGTCTTTTCTCCTTTCCTATCTTGATGGTTTCTCAGGAGGCTTCGAGTGAAGCCTTGATTGCGAACACGCCTTTGACTCGGTGGACGCAGATCTTGTTGGCGAAAAGTTCCAGGATGAGATCAGAAAAGAAACTCCCTTGGGCCCTTGGGTGCTGGCAATGCTTGTGGGGTGAGCTGCTGCGTTGTTTCGTATCGTCGGTGAATAGCTGGACGAGATTGCTTGCTTCTTGATCGGCTGGATATGGGACTATCAAGTAGTCCAAGGTAGCAGCAGCAGCAGCAAGTCGTCTTGTTCTTATTCTCTGGAGCCTTGCCTATATCCGAATGAAGAAAGTATTCCCACACCCCACGACAACTTCCATGGTGCGGCTCAAGTGACGGACAATTATTAATCGCAAAGTAGACATGTAGTCAACAAACGTTGACATAAGCTGCTCTCGCGCCTTTCTCGCCCTTCAAGTTCAAGGAAACAAGATTGTTTTGAGGGGTTAGACTCGGAGAATGCAGTGGACTCCTGACAAACCCATGTTCGGTCCTAAACGCCATGCCCTTCTGGATCACCGCAAATTCTGGATCCCAAAAACCTGGGGAGGGGCAGGCGACCCTTAGCTTAGCGGGCCGGATATAACAAGCGAGTTACCGGCCGAAGAGCCTTTGTCCACTCGAGAAATGGGAAAACCTAAGCCGTTAGGCAGAGATTGGGAAAAGCTGGACCTATTGCTTCCAAGCGGTTCAGCTAAGGTATGGCCAGCTGTTGTGGTGACGCAGTATGTTTGGGCTGCTATCTTCTAGCTTCATGAGCTTGCCGCCTGTCGCAGTGTCATTAGGAACGTGCACTTGTGATTCACGGAAACGGATATCGGCCGCTACCACAGTAGATCAGTCGTTTTTAACCCCTCTCAGATCAACCAATGCGGTTTCAACGTTCAAAAGAGAGAGAGAGAGAGAGAGGAGAACTTGGTTGCTGATCTTTCCTTGGCTTGGCTTTTGGAGAGTCGGTGAGGCTTCATCCCATCTCAAGTGCAAGTACGGAGTAGGTGACCACGAGAGTGCATTTGTGCGCCAGCTTTTCAGTTGATTTGGGCCAACAGCATGATCTGTTTCGGAAATTGAAAGAGCGGCAAGGCTTGTTCTCACCAAGGTCTCACAACCTCAGTGAGGTTCCTGACCCAAGCTCTTGGCACCTTGAAACTCGTCTTCTTCATCAGAACCCGCCTTGGCTGCAAGATCTCACCTCGTACCCCAGCCCGGAGCCGTATTCCGGAGTGGGGGGCCGGAAGGCACTTGTTGACTCGGTGTTGAGATGAAAACGCGAGACCCGAGACTCTGGATTGGAATGAGGGATGTTGCAACTCTTCACCTTTGGCGATTTGACCAATCACCACAGTTCTATTGTCTCGGAAGGGTGTGCTCGGCGCTCGGTCGGAAATCGAGGTGTCATTTCGAACCCCAGGCTTGCCAATAATGCCAGCCTCCGTGGCTCATTGTCGCTAAGCCGGACTAAATCAACGGCGCAAAACCACGTGGTTCTGTGACCTTCTATCCGTAGCTGTCATTCATCAAGCTTGTTCGACGAAAATCAGAGATGTCCAGGGATCGGACAACGAACGAACTCATATCTCCGATATGGTAAGTATCCGTACGAATATATCCGTCCGACAGAATACCAGCTAGAATACGAGGGAAGAAGATTCGGCCGATACTGAAGGCTGAAGCACAGCGAGAGCAATTTGCAACAGCCAGGCTTATTTCGCACGTCACTTCACACACAGATTGCGACCTGACCGTTTCTTTTTCTATTACACAGTAAATTTACATTTGTCAGCCTTGTGGCTGTCTGGCCCAATTGCCATGGTAATTCTGCTTCGTGGCACGGGTGTGCCCGTTTTTGATTCCGACTTTGGTTCCGCCTCTATCGCACGAATTCCTTGAGATCCTTCGCGTCCTCAAAGCTGACCTTTCCATCACGCGATACATTGGCAACATGAATGGCTGAGGGTGGCTGCTCAACCGATGCGGGTTTCGCCTCGACCTTGAGCTGGGTGGTCAATTCGACAGCCTCCGGAACTACGCCGGCTGGCGCATCCGCAATCTCGTTGACCTCCTTATTAGTGAGGGAGTCGGCAACCCTCACTCCTCTGCTGGACATGAGAAGGGTTGTAGGGCCCCGGAACTGAAGGAACAGTCGGTCGCCCCAAATGGTGCGTCGGAGTGACGTCCTCAAGGTGAACAGCCACTGAGCAACGTTCTTGTACGTGCTAGTATCGCGCATCGCCTTCATGAAGTTCGTCTCGGGGAAGAAGCGAGTAATGTTGGGGATCTGGAGCCGGAGGATGTTCGACTTGAGGCGCATCGGTAGGGGAGGGTTGCGAGAGACGGCGTATGCGACCACGTGCGAGGGGTGGGCGACGAACTCTTCGCCTTCTGCGAGCGTGACTTCATATACCTGACCCGGAGAGGACAGAGCAGCCAGGCCTCGACCGGTGAGGTGGGTGCTTCCCCAGTGGGCAAGCGAAAGGCCACGGCTTATACGCGGCGATACGGAGAGGGTGTGGCCAGTCCAGGCAAGAAGCGCATTGCGCTGGGCGACCATGTAGTCGGTGGTACCATCGAGGTGAAGGACAGAAAAGGTCGTCGTTGGGGACTTTGTAGAAATCAGTGCCGTGAGGGGGGTTGAAGATGAAATGCGTTGGTATAAGAAAGGTACGCCGAGAAAAGCTCGTATGAAGGGCGAAAGAATGGATAGCGTTGATTGAGCCTGCGATCGAGTGATTAGATATTGGTCAGAGGAGCAGAGTCCGAATCAATGCTCACATTTTCAGCCTTGCCTGCAACTCCTACCAACGTTCCCCTTCTGGTGAAGAGCTGCTGCGACGGCGACAGAGAGACAGAAAGGAGAGAGTAAGGGGAACCAAGGACCTCGAACCGGGCATCTGTTGCTTTGAAGTTAGCAAGTCCTCCATACTGGTTACTTTGCAATCAAAGACTGGACCATACCGGCGGCATCCCGCGACGCTTCGCGAGCTCCAAAGACATCCCCGCCAACCTTTGGGGCTTCAGTCGTCGGCGCAGCGCTGATCTGGATGCCCCTACATTGCCTGCAGACGTATGAAGGTGATTGACCAGGTCGTACACCTCGCGCCGTCCTCAGCAAGGGTAATTGGGCGCGCATGGCGGACATCTGGGAGGCTGATGACGTCGGTCGTTCAAATCGTGACTTGGAAGCTCCAGCAACTGTCGGCCTCTGCCCTCTGCTCTATCTGGATTTGGAGGGCCGGCGACCTTGCGCTGACGGCAAAATCCCGGAGCTCCATCCCGGGTGAACACCGTCCCGAGCCGAGAAGCACGTACTTCAAAGTCCGGTACGTACAGTACAGGTCAGCACAAGCAGCAGCTACGTACCTCACCGTTCTTTCCCAATGTCAAAGCTCGAAGATTGAAGTGGGGCGGCAGATTGGCTTTAATTCGCTTGGAGGAGATTAGCGCCGTCACCCCGGTAACCTCCCATGTCGACACCCCTGTTGACAAGGCCTCAGTGCAAACCTTCCATATTCCTTGCACAACATTGAATAAGTCACGGACACGGTTCAAACACCACAAAAGTCTTCTCGTCGAACCATTTCGACAAGACGCGTCGACCCCGACACCATACTCTCGAGTATCGACACCCGTTCATTCCTGCTGGCTTGGGCTGCTGCCACCCTATCCATCGACTCGAATCCTGGACTGGCCTCACGATGTCGGTTCGTGTGGTCGCGCGTATCCGTCCCCTCCTTGAGAAGGAGCTGGATAAGGACGTCATTGTCCGGGCGGACAGCACCGAGCAAGGCAAGCCAGCCACGTTGGTCAAGATTCCGAGTCCGAAGAACGAGAGCGAGGAGTTCTCCTTTGCCTTCACCAGCGTCTACGACCAATCGACGACACAAGACGCACTCTTTACATCAGAGGGTACGGATACCTTACGCGAAACACGAATATCGAGATATCGGTCAAACTAACTTGAGCAGTGGCACCACACATTAAGGCCCTCTTCCAAGGTCTCGATGTCACCATCTTCGCCTATGGAGTCACAGGAACCGGCAAGACACACACGATGAGAGGTGGGCTGAAGCTAGCAGATCGCGGTGTAATCCCGCGCCTGCTGAGCGGTGTGTATCGACGCGGTAAGAAGATCGCAAAGGACACCGGCGGCAAGACAACTGTCGACGTTGTCTTGTCATACTACGAGATCTACAACGACAAGGTCTTTGACCTATTCGAACCTCCCGAAAAACGCCAGCCCTCTGGCCTACCCCTCCGCGAGAAAGATGGCAAGACGATGGTAGTGGGTCTCTCTGAACGGGCCTGTGAGGATCTCCAAGATTTCTCCCGACTCTACATCGAGGCGAATAACAACCGCGTCACGGCATCCACGAAACTCAACGCCCACAGCAGTCGGAGCCACGCCATCATGAGAATCAAGGTGACACAAACGACGGGAGACCAGGTCCGCGAAAGTGTGGCCTCAGCCATTGACTTGGCTGGCTCGGAAGACAACCGCCGAACCGACAATGGAAAGGAGAGACTAGTAGAGTCTGCTGCCATCAATAAGAGTCTTTTCGTCTTGTCGCAGTGCATCGACGCCATCTCCCGAGGGGACAAGCGGATTCCCTACCGCGAGTCAAAGATGACGCGCATCCTCAGCTTAGGCCAGAACAACGGCATCACCGTCATGATCCTGAATCTGGCCCCCATCCGCAGCTACCATCTTGACACTTTGAGCAGCTTGAACGTCAGCTCCAGGGCCAAGCGCATCGAGGTTCGCGAAATCGAGAACGAAGTCGTCTTCAAGCAGGTCCCGCGTACGAACTCGGGCAGTTCTACATCTACTCTACGACAACCCCTCCGCCCCTTGGCCAATGCCCACAACATTCACAGTGGCACTATTGCAGCCAAGGCAAGTGAGAAGGCTGCTGATCCGACGCGACCGGTGAAGCTTTTCAACGTTTACACCGACCGTAGCAAGGCCGCTGCTCCCGTCCGACCGACTGCCAATATGACGCAGACCCGGAAGCCCCTCGTCGAACGTGAATTGCCGTCCAAGGCTAGCAGGCTTGCACGACCGTCGCAGTCCTCACTGATAGCTCAACCAGTCCAGCCGGCTCAACCAGCCGAACAGAAGCTCTCCATCTCCGCCGAGCAATTGGAAGCTATCGTCGAGAAGAAGGTCAGCGAGATCCTCGCCTCCAGGGACAATAAGACGGCAGAGCCTGCACCTGCACCTGCTCATCCCGACATCAATGATGCTGTGCGGCGCCGATTGGAGGCACTGGAGCGCCGTATCGCGAATGAGGAGCGGGAACGCGACGATGGACGCTCAGAGGGACTACGTTTCTTGCTGGCTGCTAGGCAGGCAAAGGAGACTGGCGACGATGTTGTCGCCCTTCAGATGTACGAGGAGGCCCTTCCATTCTTCCCAGGCCAGGCCAAGCTGCTGGGCAAGATTGAGAAGCTGAGGGTCAAGCTTGGAAACATGCTTGCCACCGAGTCTCTACCAGTGTCATCATCTCCCCGGAACGGACACGAGAAGAAGCGTAGAAGAATTGCTGCCGACGACAGTGACGAAGAGTACCAGCAAGGCAGAGGGGACGAAGACATGAGTTTTGTGGACGTCGCCGCCAAGACGAAGAGCCGAAAGGCCAAGCCTGCCAGGCCCCCCAAAATGGTCCTCCCCGACCCGGCCGGACCAGCTTCTCCCCGGACTCAGAACTTGCTGAGCATCGTCAACTCGCGGGACCTTGCCCAGATCAAGGGCTTGCACGGATTCGGCTCGAAGAAGGCCCAGGACCTCGTTGATTACCTGGAAACGATGACGGATGACGAAGCCGAGATTGAGACTTTGGCGCAGCTGAAGACCATCCCTGGAATGGGTGGCCGGACCGTCGAGCGTGCTTACGACGGCCTTGTTGGACTGGCTATTTGAAGCCAGTGAAGTGATATCCTACCTAGCATGGCGCATCGGGCGGCTATAGGTGCATTGGGCATGGTGTTTCTGGAGTTCAGCATGCAGGCCGCGGTGGCCTTGAGAAACAGGTTGCTTACAGAATGTTGCATATTGTGGCGAGAATTCTTCAGGGCAAAGCATACTAGACAGGTAATTCGTTCCCTTCAACCCCCTGTAGCCTGTCTTCCATTGTGTGATGTATCTCGGTCTACTCGTTCTATCTAAGTGTATGTATCACAACGGTATCTTCAACCAGTAGGGCAGCCTCAACGCCCACCACATATGTAGCCGTACATAAGACGAAAGATCCCTGAGATCGTCATAAGACTCTTTGTCGCGACGAAGTACAGGTTATAACAGCTCAGCCTTGACGAAACCTCACAAAGCTATCTTGGACAGCTTGACATAGCATTGCCGAGGCTTGACCGTCAACCCATCATAGCCTCTATAGTCTGACAACTCCGGAGGACATTGTAAAAAGTCAAAGTTCCACATCAGCATCGTAGTAAACATGCGAAGCTCCAAGTATGCCAGCCGTCGTCCAAAACACGCCCTTGACCCGAGGCCGAAAGCCATCTGAGGCCCCGCCGTGGCATCATACACCCTATGCCCCGGATCCTCATCTGACTTGACAAGCCATCGTTCAGGTTTGAAGTCCTCAACAGGATACGGCGATGCCTCCCAGCTTCGGATCCGATGAGACGCGTCGAGTGCCGTCTTGGAACGCAAGGAGTCGGGGATGTCAAAGGTTGGCTTGAGAATGCTCTTGCCAATGGTCACCATCATCACGTTTGTGCCTTTGGGGATATGGTGGCCGAGAATCGTCGTGTCTTGCATCGCTTCGCGGTCCGTGACGGAGGTCGTCCCGGCAAAGCGCAGGATTTCTTCAATGGTGGCGTCGAGGTAAGGGATGGTGGCCTTGATGATTTCTTCGTGGGTTGGGTTCCGTCTCTCCTTCACCGCGTCGGGCAAATGCTGGCGGAGGGCTTCGCGGAGATGTGTTTGTGCTTCTGGGTTGTCTGTGAGGTACTTGATGCCCCAGCCAAAGGTTGTGGCTGTTGTCTCGTGTCCCGCTAGCAGGAACCCGAAAGCCTAGATCTTGTTGTCAGAGTGCTTGGCCTTTTCAACCAGATCATATGTTATTGCAGACTTACCTCGCTGTGCATACCGACTGACTTGTAGACAGGGGCCCTGCCTTCCTTCTCGGCCACCCTCTGCTCTCTGTAGACCATGTGATCGAGCGCTGAGCACGCAGAATCACCAGCCCCAAGTCTTTGAACGGCCGTCTCGAGTTCGTGGTTGACAGATTCATCTCTGACCTTCTTGGCGGCCTTGATGCGAGGAGTCTGGTGGATGTACCAGCATCGAAGCCATGGCAGAACTGCCTTTCTCGTTTCCTCGACCGTTTCTGCTAACTCTAGCATCGCTTTGATGACTTCGCTTTGTTCACTCTCCGGAAAGACTACCATAAAATCAGCAATGGTCGGAAGTTCAACCCTTTCAAGGGCCGAAATCAGCTGCAATCGACTTGGCAGCATCATGTGTTGAAAGTTGCTGCTGAACGAGAAAGCCAAGACGGCGTCAAACGCCCCGAAGTAGATATCGTTGAAAGCCTCGAATGGGTGGCCGTCGGCAAGACGACCTTTATGATCCCAAAGCTCAACCATCTGCCGAACGCTATCATAGATGGGCTTGGCAACGACACCATGGAGGAAACTAGGTGTTATCAGGTCTTGCAACTATTTCCGCTGCCTCTTGTACAGGGGATCATCGCTCTTCATCATCATGTGAAATTGAGGCATCAACGGCTGAGAGATGTATCGAAGAAAGTCGGTTCGGTCAAAGTCCTTGTATCGTCTCATGGATATATTCTCCGCTTCGCGGTAGTCTGTGACATTGACCGTTGGGGGGGAAAGGGGGCGCATGAAGAGCTGTATGATGGGCGATTGGAGGTTCTCGGTCTGGGCTGCAACCCATCGGAACATGGAGATGCCTTGTTTCTGGCTTTTGAGGAAGGAGTCAATGTCTCCCATGATGTTTGTGGCCGCATGTTTATTGTGAGGTATTCCTAGGATCGATTTGGGTAGAGGAGCGCGGTGGAAGAGGTAAAGGAGTGTGACTGTGAGACCAGCAACGACAACGTAGTGTTGCAGGCCAGAGTCGAATGAAAACATCTTTTGCTTGGGTAAAGCAGTGAACAGCCCTATAACTGTAAGTAACGTTCGACTCTTTCAGATTCATTGATGCGTTCGGCTCAGTTCGTTTGAAGTTCTTATCGCCGTATTATGTACACGGAAAGAAGCTTTGCAGCGGGTAATAGAAAGCGTCCGAGACTAAGTAATGTCGCGCCACCTCCCCGAACTATCTGCCCATCAGCCTAAGCGTAACGAATACGGACATTCCATCCTATTCGCTAGTGATTAAAGGCTTGTTGATGGATCAAAGTCTCGTGGCAGACTTCTGGATGATCACAATTCCCTGGTGCGATCCACTTCGTCTACTGGAACTTGGCTTTGCTATGACAGCGCTGAGTCCGACCCCGACCCCGAGTCCGTACCATGCTTCAGACCTATTACTACATGCAAACTTGAACCCAGGGTGGACCTGTCTTCTCTTTCGGCATTTTAAGACTTGTAAGAGAAAGATGCACAGTGTAGTTGCTGCTCGAATTGCAGTCGTTGTACACGACTGCTGCCGTGTCCAGTCCTAGCCCTAAAGGCTATCACATCGTAGCAGAGTCAAGAGTTATTGTATTAACTGAGTACTACATTGCATGCATTTGATGCGTCTAAATTTGGAGTTTTCACTTCCTTTCGTCTCCAAAACTCTAAGCCTGGGGGAAAGACAACACTGAATTGATGTTGATTAGGTTGATCATATTGTCAGGCATCATGTTCCCGTTGTCAAGAGATCCGGGATCGGAAATTGGGAAAACAAATGCGCCTGCCGAAGCCCCAAGGTTCCGGGTACAACTCCAGGTTAGATAAAGCAACAAGTCATTGCCAAAGGAAGCGACCTCTCAAAGCCGGCTATTTGCGGTAAGTTGGCGCCTCCGCATCGGGTACGTCATCCCCGGATATCTTGCCCCGAGACCGGTGCTTACGCGGAGAACGACAGCCACCAACCTCCGTCTACGACAAGATCTCATTCCCGTCGGCCGACTCTCAATCAGAACCATCACGGTGAAGTTGATACTGAACTAAGTAACTTACGGATACTCTACTGTATTACTTTCAAGCGACCACTTAACCTTCAACGCCATGACTTCTCACAAGATCCTTGTCCTTCCAGGCGACGGCGTTGGCCCCGAGATCATCGCCGAAGCTATCAAGGTCCTTGATGTGATCCAAAATGCCTCTAGCGTGACATTTAAAATCCGTTCAGAGTTGATGGGAGGTTGCAGCATTGACGAGCATGGTGTAGCCCTAACCCAAGAGGTCCTGGATATTGCCAAAGCAAGCGATGCAGTCTTGTTCGGGTCAGTCGGTGGGCCCAAATGGTGAGTTAGGCCATTCACACGACTTTCATCAGCGGCAATGACTGAGAGTTCCCTCAGGGGCGCTGGCAAAGTGCGACCCGAACAGGGCGTCCTCGCCTTGCGTCATGGACTCAACGCCTTTGCAAACCTCCGTCCATGCAAGTTCGCAAGCAAGTCTCTTGTCGACCGAGGTCCCATCCGACCCGAGCTCACAGAGGGAACCGACTTTGTCCTTGTGCGAGAGAACTGCGGGGGTGCTTATTTCGGAGACAAGACTGAGGAGGAGGACTTTGCATCGGACGCCTGGGCGTACTCCCGAGCAGAAGTTGAGCGGGTTGCAAAGGTCGCCGCCGACCTAGCCATGGAGACGGACCCGCCTCAGCAAGTCATCTCGTGCGACAAGGCAAATGTTCTTGCGGTCAGTCGGCTTTGGCGAAGAGCCGTGACGAACTTTTTTGCGAGGGAGTATCCGCAGATTAAGCTCTCCCACCAGCTTGCCGATAGCGCGGCCATGCTTATGGTGAAAGATCCCCGCTCTTTCAACGGAGTGGTGCTGATGGATAACACGTGAGTATCACGACCCCAACAAGCTTGATGAACCTAACCGAGGGATTATACGAGGTCAGGTTTGGCGATATCCTTTCAGATGTGAGTAGCGTAGTCCCGGGATCACTGGGTCTGCTTCCATCCGCATCGATCTCGAGCACCACCCCTGGCTCGGGGGGCATCGGCCTTTACGAGCCTATCCACGGAAGCGCCCCCGACATTGCAGGCAAAGGTAATAGAGCTCCGTGCCCAATACTCCGAAGGTGCCAGTGGCTAATTCGCCTTCTGCAAAGGAATCGCTAACCCGGTCGCAACTATTCTTGCGGCTGCGATGATGCTCAAGTACTCATTTGGGATGGTTGATGAGGCAAAGGCCATTGATACGGCTGTTGAGAAGGTCTTGGACTCCAAAGACATTGGCGGCCATGAGATACGGACCGCGTAAGTTTCTCCTGCTACTCAAGATCCACCGTATGTCTAACTCATCTCTTCAGTGACCTGGGTGGGATTGCAACAACCGTTGAGATTGGTGATGCGATCTGCAAACAACTCGAAAGCCTGTTGAAGTAGATTGTACCGTATGGGTTTGACAGAAAGACATGCTGCAGAATGAATGGACCACTGATACAAGGACACGCTGAAGACGAGTGGTGAAGGGTACCCCAAGTTGACTCAAGTGCTGATGTGAAAATCGAAAGATGCTAGTACCTATAAATATGCCGTGTGATGGCCTAAAATCTAGCATTAAGGACATTCAGAAGAAATTACTAGGAACTTATGAATTTTGTTATGGGGACATGAATCCCGTTGACGCGGAAAGAAGGCGTGTCGGAGTTCGAACACCACTCTACTCTATCACGAATTCTTATGATCCGGCCGCGATAACACTACAACTAGCTGATTAGGAGATACCTTGCGGATTCTTCGGGACAAAGGCGTTTTACTTCTAATACACTCACTAACTTTGTGATTAAGGACCACACGGACCTCTTGGTTCAAGCCCGACCCCGAGCCCGAACATAAACCCGTCAACGTGGTGTTAAGTCCATCACTCTCCTTCACAACTACGGTTCCGCGCCTTCTGTGCTCGTGGATCAAATCTCTCCCTCCGTTGATCATACGCACGTTTGACACAATGGACGCCTCTCGCCGTGAAGAGACTAGGGTACGAAGACGAAGGGCCCTTGCCTGCATCGAGTGCCGGAAGCGAAAGCTGCGGTGCGACCACAACCGCCCTTGCAGCAAGTGTCAGCGGGCGAAGAACAGGGCATGCGTCTATCCGTCCATTGCTCCTCCTGTCAATCTTGCGGATCCCATCAACGACCGACAGAGTAGCCTGTCACCAGTCCAACGGCGCCAGTCCGACTCGGATCACGGGGAAATCGCCCAAACACCAAAGCCCGCGGACCAAGACCGGGTCTCCACAAGCGCCATTGACGGAACATGGCATTCGTCTTCGTTTGGAAGCGTCCTGCTCAGTCAGATCTCGTCGCCGGGGACGATCGTTCCTTTCGTGGCGGCTGAGACTTCTACACGTCGTCTGGTGACAGAATCAGATTGCTCAGCTGAGAAATCCCCCACCATCAGTTCACTCACTGAGCTCACGTCTCTACCAACTATGATGATTGAACGCTTGATCTAAGCCATGTTACTTGATTCTTGAAACTGACCAAATGATAATGATAGGAACAAATTTCTCGATTCAAAAGCGGGCAGAGAAATAGTCTAATGCGATAAGTTGCGGATGTAACCGACGGGTTCATTCACGATTATGCTGTACTCATCCAGCTACTTGTATTGCACTTGTATATTCCTCTTTGCACGGCTATTCAAGACTCAAAGTGGCTCTCGTTCAAAATCTCGCTTCAATTACAGCTTACAATATCCACGTCTGCTGGGGGTTTCAAGTCAGGCCCTGAAGTATCCCTCTCATGTCACCGACTAAATCCTAGTTTGGTTCAACGTCAGCCTGTCAGGGGACTGGCACGGCTTCAAATTGGTTCCGATACTTTCGAGCAGATAAGTCCACTATCGAATTATGTAAGTTCTATTTGATATCTTGACCGCCACCCTGATTGCTTCAAAGACCGAGGAGGTATGCCTGTCGGACGAACTTTCACCGACTACTGGCTTGAGCCGACCTTTCCAGCCTCACGGGGGCCAGCTGAACAGATGTCCCTCGCTTCACGAATACTTATACCGATGAAAATTGATAACATCCTTATCAGCGATGTTCGGAGCCAAGAGAGTCAGGCCCTACTAGCGAGTGTCAATTGTTATCCGGTCCGACTATTCTCATTCACCGAGTGGGTCTCTTCCGAGCAGCGGGGCCGGAGCAAACACCGAGATCCTCGCAACGGACCCCCGTGTGCCATCGGCACTGCGGTCGGTAAATGTTCCTGGCTTTATCATGAGTTGTCGTGATTAGACTAATCATGATAGGGATTTCTTGAATATCAAGCCACAATTTTGGATGGCTGTTGGACGGCTGTAAACTTGGCATCTGGCCCATCTTTTGGCTACCTTATCTTGCTGTCATTCACCGAGCGGGTGATGTGGGATAGTGCGGGATAGTGGGTTAATGAATGCATGTTCAGGGCCATTGCCTTGCTTATCACGGATACCATTAATCAAATTCGAATGATTGTGTTACGTATGAAGACCTCAATAAGGCCATGATGATGAAAGAGGAACCATCATGAACGCATCTCAAGCTATCATATAAGACGGCGAGAAGGATGAAGTACGCCGGATCTTCTTGTTCAACCAGACTGCACCAGCGAAAACTCAGCTGATCGAGTCTGATTTCGGAAGAGACTCAACATGATGAAGTTTTCCCGTTGTATCTTGGCGCTCTCAGCCGTTGGCTCTGCGATTGCTGCTCCGACTTGGAACAGCAGCACCGTGGACCGATCGAACTTGACGATTGCGTTGATCCGCACGCCCCCACCACACTGGCCGCTGCCTTTGACGAACTACGACTACACTGGAATCACTTTCAACATCAGCGAATGTGTCGATGCTGGAATCGAGTTGATCAAAGATGCCAAGGCTAGCGGTTCCGATGTTGTGGTCTTCCCGGAGCTTTGGTTCCCCGGGTAAGTAATAACCTCGCCCGAGGTTCGAGCATCCGAATATTGAATGCAAATATCTAAACTGTCTCGAACAGGTTTCCCAAGGGTTCGGACAGTCATTACAACTTCACGCGCGACTATCTGCCATCGTACATCGAGAATGCCATCACCCTTGGCGATGCGCAGTGGAACCGTCTGATTGCGACGATCCAAGCAGTGGGCATCTACGCCAACCTCAACTTTGCAGAAGTTGAAGGCGACTACATGTATATGTCACAGGCATTGATTGATCCTCAAGGCAAGATCATGCACCACCGTCGTAAGCTTCGGCCATCTGGTGCAGAGCGTTACTTCTTCAGTGACGGAGTTGCCGAAGATCTCAAAGTCCTGGAGACTGACTACGGTCGATGGGGAATGCTGGAGTGTGGAGAGTATGTCTACAGAGCTCACCTTTCCCAAACTGATCGCGTCCTACGTCGTTGAGTGCCGAAGCTGACTATACCACTCTCAATCTAGGCACCTGTACCCTAGCATGACGTTCAACATGTACGTGCAGCGAGAGCACGTTCACTTCGCGCCTTTCCCCTACCTGGCGGGCGTCGGAGACGAGACCTCGCTTTGGTGGGAGAACGAGTGGGTAAACGCCGGCACTCTGAGCGTCTACTCTGTTCTCAGCGGTGCCTACTCCTTTGTCGCCGCCGTCGGCGCGACTTTCGTGATCGATCCGTTCGGATCTCGCGTTGCCCACATCAATGCCAACGCCAGCTTTGAGGAGTTCCCGATGTTGTACTACAACCTCAATACTAGCGGCTTCAACAGCTCTCAGACGTATGATATTAATGGGCAGGCTTCATGGGGAACGCTGAGCCAGATTGTGGATAGTTTTCCGGGGTATGTGCCGAAGGTGGAGGGGGAGTTCGTCAAACACAAGAACGTCTCCATTGACTACCTGATGACCGGGGATCTTGTAATCCCGTCTTAGCCATAGATAAGGTAGAGTCATCTGATTCTAAATTTGGCTTCCCGAACATTGAACTGCGGGGAGAAGTGGCACTGTTTCCCAGAATATCATCCCACGGTATGCCATTCATGATGTTTGCGATGAATACTAATGCCTGATTGTGGTTTGAGGCCCCTTTCATTCCGGCTATTGTTGCTGTTGTGAACACCAAAACCTTTCTAGAAGTTCTAAATATGGGAAAGCAGCGATGAGATACCAACGTTGCCCTGGCATAGATCATAGGAATAAACCATCAATGTGTTCATCTGTGGATCACGTAGAAGGTGTGGCCATATGAGGCCTAGGCCGCTCCTGATGATCGGCCGTGATCGTCCTACGTCGGGAACGCTCCAGGGTAAAGATTCATGCTTAATCGTACGCTGCCAAGATCTAATACATCTCAAACATGTCAACTGGGGGCTAACTCTTGTGTTGGTTGGTTGCACCGATTTGGCAAAAGGTCGCGTGCTGTCTGAGAGCGCGGTTGGGGCAGCTATTTTAAGGACAAGACCCATACACGACGTTGCGAACTCGCACACCCTGCAATCATAGGGGAAAACTTCGCTGATGACTTTGCACAATGGATCAAAGTCCTTGATTGGATTAGTCCCACCTCGAATGGTCCCATCAGCGCAAGCAAAAGACCATAGGATTGATCGAATGTACGAAGTACTCCAAGCCAGACTGCCAGAGAGTAGCAAATCCTACTGTGGTTTCAGGTACATGGCAGTGTAAAAAGCTTGGAGGTCTTGGCTAATGTCGAATAATTGTATCAATCCATGTTCGGCAATTCGACGCTCCTTGTTCCCATGTTCGAAAATCGCCGGGCGACCTTGTGTTGCCATTCAGGCTTCCATTGACGTAAACAGCGCCGAACACTAGCTGAGCATTGTATGCAGTCGAAGTTCGGAGTTCTCGGCAAAGATGCCTACCAACTCGAATCCATGCTGCGTACCTGGAAACTCTTATCTGCACAAGATATCCATAGAGATCATCGCGAATCGCTTGGGGTCTGGGATTTATCCAAAGTGTTAGTCATCTCCCGGGGACCTAATTAGTTGCGAGCTGCCCGGCCACCGGACTACTCCGTGGATCAGGTCCCTCCGGATCCGTGACCCATCGCAATGCTCCAAAAGAACCGCCGGCTTGTAGGGGGGGGGGCTACTCGGCCGGCCTAAGGTTGCAGCACTAATAAAAGAGAACGGAGTAGAATGGAGCTTGTCGTTGAGTCTGGGCCACTTCTTAGCCTGCATGTTCCGCGGTGAGGACTGATTCGCTGGCTAAAGACAATAAGCTTTCTCCTAAACACAGATGAAAATGTCAAGCAGCATCATCCATGCGCCTCATGAGTCGTGGATCTCTACACTTGACTTGTCTGCGACGAAGAAGTTCCCCAAAAGTGCACTCGAGAGCCTTGTGCGCTTCCTTATGAGGAATCTTTGCCATGAATTGAACTTTATTCGGTCGGGGATTCCCCGTGTTTACCACGACTGGCAAGCCTTGAATGAAGCTTCTTGAATGGGGCCTTTCGCAAGTGGTAATCAATCCCGTCGGATATTACGGTCGTTGCGTCCCATTCCGAGTGACGCACATTGTGAAAAGCTTTCTTTGCCAAGTCCGAGTCCCAATTTTAGAGGGGATCCAAAGATTCCAAACGACTAAAGCCCCTATTCCTGCCAGTAACCATCACCGACTACGAATAGACACAACATGGATCGAACACCAGAGCCCGAGTCTGCCCCCATGTTCACAAAGAGAAGAAGGAGTATTGTAACAATGACAGAGAAGCAACTGCTATCAATAGATCTAAGCCTCATATCCACTGAAATGTTCCCGTCTGTCGCCGAGGACGAGAAGCATAGTCCAGGTACAACGATCACAGAGGAGGAGACAAGCTCAATCACGGAGAACGACCAAGAGAAAGACAAAGCTCCGAAAAATGATATACCAGCGACACCGGTGCCAAAGTACTTATCAGGTGCCAAGCTTTGGATTGTCATCACATGTGTTATTGTTGTTGCCTGGTTGATGTTCCTTGACAGTTCTATCATTGTTACTGTTAGAGCACCCAGAAAGAAAGCGAAGCATCTTATTTGCTAATAGCATTGTAGGCTATTCCTGCGATCACTGATGAGTTTCACTCTCTGCAAGATATCGGTTGGTATGGTAGTGCCTACCACGTTTCGAGTGCCGCCTTCCAGCCCCTCACAGGCAAAATCTACCGCTACTTCAGTTCAAAGGTACGGGTTTCCCGGTTGTCAAAGTAAACGACTATGTCTCTAAACCCGTACTGATCCATGCAGTGGTCTTTTTTCGTCTTCCTAGTCTTGTTCGAGATTGGATCTCTAGTATGCGGGGCTGCGCCTTCATCCCTGATATTGATCGCGGGCAGAGTCATCGCGGGTATAGGAAGTGCGGGCATAATGAGTGGCGGCCTGACGATCATCGCCGGATCAGTACCTCTAGAGAAGAGACCCGGTGGGACTAATCGTTGCGTATTTCGTCTGACAAATGCTTGGCTAATTCATCTTGTCTAATAGCTCTTATGGGACTGGTCATCGGACGTAC